ACCACACCCAGCAATAATGATTCTTAATGCACCTGGTTCTTAGGTTTGGATTTGGGGTTTCAAATTCAAATCAAAGTCTGTTGGGATATAAGGGCCCTTGGAGATCATTTGAGCCAAGCTGCAGCTCCTTTGGTCTTGGGGACAGCTCCAGTTACTAGAACATGATTTCAGTTGAGCCATGCTCTTACACAGTCCTTTGCCTGGGAATTTTGCAGCCCATGCTTCCTGGAGGCATTTCCATGGTCACACAGCAAGCCTTTCTGATCTGCTCTCAGGCCTTGCTAGCCTGTGCTCTGGGGCCAACACTGAGCCATTAGCCCATCAGCCATGTCTTGCTGGTGGCTTTAGCAGGGACACACAAGGGCCTCTCAGAGGGAAGCGGAGGAGAATTGGTCACTTAGCTCTGCTTGCTGTTTCCCAGATGGCTGCCCCTGGCTGGTGATCACAGATTTTGGCTGCTGCCTGGCTGATGAGAACATCGGCCTGCATTTGCCCTTCAGCAGCTGGTATGTGGATCGGGGCGGAAATGGCTGCCTGATGGCCCCGGAGGTGAGTCCCAAGCATGTCATGTGCCATTGGCAGCCCTTCACCCATGCTTCCACTGAGTACAGAATGAAACTTGGTGCCTTATGATCACCCAGCACCTGCATCTTTTCTGACCCATAATTTGGTACAAGTTCCTTCCCTGCCACTTTGCTTTCCTTCAGCCTTCCCTCATATTCCAGGCAAAGTGAGTCCTGTCACATAAACCAGGCAGTCTAAGTAGACCCTTCTGGGTCTAAGCCGCAGCTCACTCAAGCTCCAGGTTCCTTGGGACAGAGTTCAGATTAGCCTATGAATCGGGTGACATGCAGGACATGAAAAGGTTAGACACGCAGCCAGGTGTGGTAGCTCACGCCTGTAATCCCAGCACTTTGGGAGGCCGAGGCGGGTGGATCACAAGGTCAAGAGATCGAGACCATCCTGGTCAACATGGTGAAACCCCGTCTCTACTAAAAAATATACAAAAAATTAGCTGGGCATGGTGGCGCGTGCCTGTAATCCCAGCTACTCAGGAGGCTGAGGCAGGAGAATTGCCTGAACCCAGGAGGCGGAGGTTGCCATAAGCCAAGATCGCGCCATTGCACTCCAGCCTGGGTAACAAGCGTGAAACTCCGTCTCAAAAAAAAAAAAAAATACAAAACTGGGCATGGTTGCACACACCTGTAATCCCAGCTACTCGGGAAGCTGAGGTAGGAGAATGGCTTGAACCCAGGAGGCAGAGGTTGCAGTGAGCTGAGATTGCACCATTGTACTCCAGCCTGGGCAACATAGCAAGACTCCTCAAGAACAACAGAAAAGGTCAGACATGCAATCAGCATGACATCTCACCCATTGCTTCTGAGCAGGTGTCCACAGCCCGTCCTGGCCCCAGGGCAGTGATAGACTACAGCAAGGCTGATGCCTGGGCAGTGGGAGCCATTGCCTATGAAATCTTCGGGCTTGTCAATCCCTTCTACGGCCAGGGTAAGGCCCACCTTGAAAGCCGCAGCTACCAAGAGGCTCAGCTACCTGCACTGCCCGAGCTGGTGCCTCCAGATGCTAGACAACTGGTGAGGGCACTGCTCCAGCGAGAGGCCAGCAAGGTGAGATTGTCCCTGGCTTCAAGAGGACAGTGTGGGTGGAAACCTCAGTTCTCGTTCCAGAGTGAAGATTAAGTTTGGGCCAGCACCATGGTGACAGAGCCTTTGTTAGGAAGGTGGAAGGTAAAGCCTAGTTATAGGAGAATAAAAAATAGATTTTAATGTAGATAAAAGTAGGAGTGTTAGCCACCACATCATTGTCAGAGTCCTAGTAGTTCAACTCCTGTGGCTATTTCAGTTGCTTAAAAAGTTGTTCAGAGGCCGGGTATGGTGGCCTATAATCCCAGCACTTTGGGAGGCCGAAGCGGGCAAATCACTTGAATCCAAGAGTTCCAGACTAGCCTGGCCAACGTGCTAAACCCCATCTCTACTGAAAATACAAAAATTAGCCAGGTGTCATCACATGCCTATAATCCCAGCTACTTGGGAGGCTGAGGCAAGAAAATCTCTTGAACCTGGGAAGTGGACGTTGCAGTGAACCAAGATTATGCCACTGCACTCCTGGGTGACAGAGCAAGACTCTGTCTCAAAAAAAGGATGTATTTTGGAGAAAGTTTGTTTTTTGTTTTTTGTTTTGAGATGGAGTCTTGCCCTGTCATCCGGGCTGGAGTACAATGACACGATCTTGGCTCACTGCAGCCTCCACCTCCTGGGTTCAAGCAATTCTCCTGCCTCAGCCTCCCAAGTAGCTGGGATTACAGTTGCCCACCACCATGCCCAGCTAATTTTGTATTTTTTTAGTAGAGACAGGGTTTCACCATGTTGGCCAGGCTGGTCTCAAACTCCTAACCTCAGGTGATCCACCCACCTGGCCTCCCCAAGTGCTGGGATTACAGGCGTGATCCACGGCACCCAGCCAAGAAATGTTTAATGGAGATGTAGCTCATGGAAACAGCTGAGAACTGATCAGAGAGATAAATGAGAAACATCTTCCGAGAGCAGATGTGGACATTATGAAATTAATATAAAGGAATGCAAAGGCAGACCTATCTGAAGCCATAATTGGAGTGACAGCTGGCTCAGGGGCAGGCTTAGTGCAAAGAGCTAAGCCATACCTGCATGCCAGCACTGTTTTGCCACTCCGTTAACCACTCCCTGTACGTGGCCTGCTTATCTTGGTCACAGTAGGTGCACAGTGAAGGTTAGAAACTGCAATCAGTTATGAAATGATTAGAGACAACTTAAAGGGACCAGACAGCACAAGAGGCACTGGGCTTTCCACCAGGAGGAAAGGCTATTCCAACAAGCATGCTATCCCATGCAGAGGTGTACATGTGGAAAAGCTTGGAGCATGGGTAGGGGGCAAGCCGTATTTGTCACCTGAATAAAGGACATCAGTAGGAGATAGGGTAGAGGAAGAACTGGATTGGGGCCAGAGAAAGGAAGACCCTCACTAACAAAGCACGCTTTGGGTTGAGACTGTGTTAACAGATGTTGTAGCTTCAGCTTCCCTTCCTGTTGCAGAGACCATCTGCCCGAGTAGCCGCAAATGTGCTCCATCTAAGCCTCTGGGGTGAGCATATTCTACCCCTGAAGAATCTGAAGTTAGACAAGATGGTTGGCTGGCTCCTCCAGCAATCGGCTGCCACTTTGTTGGCCAACAGGCTCACAGCGAAGTGTTGCGTGGAAACAAAAATGAAGATGCTCTTTCTGGCTAACCTGGAGTGTGAAGCGCTCTGCCAGGCAGCCCTCCTCCTCTGCTCGTGGAGGGCAGCCCTGTGATGTCCCTGCATGGAGCTGGTGAATTACTAAAAGGAGAAATTGGAAGGCTCTGTGTCATGATGGTCTGTGAGTAGTGAGGGTGGGAGTCAGGAGACAAGATGGTGCAGAGAGCGTTGGTTAGCCAAAGAGAAGGCCTCAGGCTTGGCAAATGGAAGAACCTGAGTCAGAGTTCAGTCTGCAGCTGCTAACTCTAGCTGTGCAATTTGGGATGAATCTTATAATCTGTGTGGACTTAAGTTCTCTTGCCTGTAAAACGAAGAAATTGGTATAAACCAGGAGTTGGCCACCTTTCCGGTTGTGACAACTAGTCAGTCTTCCTTGTGGCACAAAAGCAACCCTGAGCACGTAATAAGTGTGGCTGGGTGCCAGGAGAGCTTTATTGATGGACACTGATGTTTGGTTTCCATGTGTCACTAGTCTTTTCAACCATTTAAAAATGTAAGGACCATTTTTAGCTTGCAAGCCATATACAGGTTGCAGGCTAGATTGGCCCACACACCAGTTTGCCAACCTCTGGTCGAGATGAATTTGAAGAACCTAACTCTACAAAAAAAAAAAAAAATTTTTTTAAAGCAAACTGATCACTAGGTCTGTTTGTGCGTCCATACTGGGAAGAAAAAAAAAAAAATGTGGTAAGCTTATCCCTGTGTAGGAAGCCGAAGGAATGCATTCTCTTCACCGGTCAGGAAGGTAACTCAGGCTTGATTGCAGACTTCAAAGCCCTGTCTTCAACCCTTGCCCTGTCCTCGGACGTCTGAAAAGTTAGTGGCCAAGCTGATGTATCAGAGGAGGCTGAACTGAGGAGGGGTAGGCCTGCATCCACAGCAGAGGATCCAGGCCAAGGCACTGGCTGTCAGTGGCAGTTTGGCTGTGACCTTTGCCCCTAACACGAGGAACTTGTTTGAAGGAGGCAGTGTAGCATGTCTGCATTTGCCACCTGGACAAAGGCAGCCATCAGCATGGGTCAGCACATTCAGTTATAGGAGTGGGAAACGTCCACACGAGGCTTGGGAGGTGGGGGCCTCTGTGTTCCCAAGCTGTGCATTCTGGACCAGCTACTGAATTAATCCCACATAGCAAAGGTGACTGATGAGCAGGAAGTGTGGGGATTTAAACTTGAGGGTTTCCCTTCTGACTAGCATCTCTTACAGGAATTGTGAAACATTAAATGCAAATTTACAACTGCAGACGACATATGTGCCTTGAACTGAGTATTTAGTTTTAAGAATGATTCTTATATGCTGAAGGTAAGAACATTTTGTGGGCAGTTATCAACACTGGGAAAAGATTTCACATATAACTTTATACATGATTTTTAGAACATGGCTATTGCCTAAACAAAGCAAGGGTGGAATGCAGTTAAAATGTGAACATACGGTTAAGGTTCTCTTCCACCGAGCCGTTCTAGCCTTCTCTTACCTGGCTCTATCTTTCTAGATTTCCCATTATTTCAGTGAGTCCCGCCCCTTGGTCTACTAGCAGCTTTCTTGTATCCTTTGAGGAGACCTTAGGAAACACCATCACTTCATAGTTAAAGACAGTCCAGTCTTAGGCAAAATTTCACAAAGACACTTAGGATTTTGTATCCAGTCAGTCATGACCAAACAGCACCCCCATCCCCAACCATAAGCAAAGCAGGACAGAGGCCAGGTGAAGTCTGAGGGCAACGTCTCTCTTTATTTTAGAAATGAGAGTGACTTCACATATGAAAAATGCCACTTAGCAATTCAAAGTGGATAAACTTACATAAAAATGATCCCGACTCCCACCCCTTGGCTCTGAGTGTCGCATCTCCCACAGAGGTAAAGATGTGCCATTTTCCCATGGTTTTAAACAAAGCAAAACAAAAACCACCAACCCCCTCCCCGTTCCCACACCGTACGGAGTCCCAGGCCTCTAGCCCCTCAGTCTGATTTCTCCTTCTCCTTCATGTGCAAGAAGACGATGCTGAAGATGAAGAGCCCCAGCATCATAGAGAAGGCGCTGGCATAGTAGGGGTAGGCCGAGGGGATGAAGCGCTCGTACTGTGTGTGCTGGAGTGGCCGCACGGATACCTGCCGGAGGACAGAGGTGGCAGGCCCTGGCCGCTGCAGAGCCTGGGCAGGGCACATGCTAACTAAAAACAGGGACTGTCACCTGTGCTTACCTGAGTGGAAGAGTACAGGTGTGTATAGCCTAGCCGATTGTAATCCACTTTAAACTGGAATACACCGTACACATCAGGCAACTTGAACTGAACGCTGTATTTGCCACCTGTGGAAGAACCAACACGAATAACCGGGAGGCGTTTCCCAGAGCATTTCCCGGTTGGGCCTCTGGAGAGCAAGTGAGGCCCTGGGCGGTTTCCGGCAGCATCCTCACGTAGGAGCTGCACTCACCTTTCTTCTTCAGGAAGGTCCTCACAAAAGGATCGATGCGGACAAATTCCAGCTGAATGTCATCACCGTCAAAGGGGACCCATTTGCCATTTGAGAGCTGCTGGATCACAATGCTGTACTCCTGAGATAAAAGGCCAGGTTAGCCAGGGCTGGCCGTGACTGGAGGTGTGCCACCACCTGCAGGCAGAGCTGCACTTAATTCCCACCCAGTGCACATGGCAGGAACACCCAGGAGTTCAGAAGACCTTCAGATGCCCCTGCCACCCAGCCTGATGGGTAACCAGTCTTTCTCCTCAGCAAGGTTAATGCCCCCGATACAGCAGCTCTGCCTCTTCTTCACAGGCCCAAATTCCTTCGCACAGTATTCATGGCCTGTCAAAGTCTGGACCCAACCACCCTCCTGACTCGGAATGTGCCAGACACTTTCAAGCATTCATGCTTCCCTATTTGCTTTCTCTCACCTAACAAACTCATCCTAATGACCTAATTGAAATGTTGTTTCTCTTGTAAATCCAACTTCCTAGGCAGAGTTAATCAGTGAAGCCCCTCCCACTGCTGCCCCCTATAGCAAATACACACACCTCTTCAGAAGAAGTGCTCCCATTAGGACATCAGTTTTCGTACCAGGCTCCGCATCTCACCTGGCCTGCTTAGGTGTAGGGATTAACTACCAGGCTCCGCATCTCACCTGGCCTGCTTAGGTGTAGGGATTAACTTATTCATCTTTATTTATGCCCTTTAGGCCAACACAGAAATATTCTATAAGTACTTCTGAGCTGAGCTCAGTCAGCTTGGCAGAACCCTGGGGCCCTCACACCCCAAGCACCTCTTACCACTAGGTCAGTGACAGTGTAGGCATTGGGTGGGGCTGTCTCGCCCACCCGATGATGGGACACAGGCCCCACACGGAGGACACCCTCCTCCTTGAACACCCAGCGGGAGAGGGCCACAGCTAGCTCATAGTTGCCTGTCTGGGAATACCTGCAGGAGGGAAACAGAAGTCTGGGCACCAGAGCCACCTTCTTTCCAGTGGTGCTTGACGGGCAGGACACTAACGTCCACCATGACAGTGCCCTAGCAGAGTTCTGCCTGTAGGCCCTGGGCACCTAGGGACCCACAGTTAAAGGGAATACAGGAACAAATGAAAAGATATGGGGGGTGGTACGCTGGGTGTCATTTGCACAACAAACACACAATGTTCTAAAAGTAACAGTGGAGGTCAGGGGTTAGGGACCTCAAGATAAGGCACTACTACTTTAGAAAATTGGAAATGCTAGATAGGCATGGTGGCTTATGCCTGTAATCCCAGCACTTTGGGAGGCCGGGGTGGGCGGATCACAAGGTCAGGAGTTTGAGACCAGCCTGGACCATATGATGAAACCCTGTCTCTACTAAAAATATAAAAAAATTAGCCGGGCATGGTGGTGGATACCTGTAATCCCAGCTACTTGGGAGGCTGAGGCAGAATCACCTGAACCCAGGAGGCGGAGATTGCAGTGAGCCGAGATCACATCACTGCACTCCAGCCTGGGCAACAGAGCAAGATTCCGTCTCAAAAAAAAAAAGAAAATTGGAAGTGTCAATACCAGCAGTATGGCAATAAAGTCCTGAAATAATCTGACAGCACCTGAAACACTCAGCCTCTGACACTTTTAGCTAAAAGCCTCCTCCTCCCCCTTCTGAGTCCTCCCCGTATACACAGACCGAACCATCTAGATCCCCAGCCCCTAAGTCTCCTGGCAGCTACCTCTGGGAGCCAGGCGTGGCCTTCTGCACTGCTGAGTTGAAGAAGGTGTCGCTGAAGAAGTCGAGGGAGCCACTGAAGATGACTCGGGCATTGTTCCTGGCCTGAAGCCCAGCAATGAGGAGGGTGTTCTTCCCCACGGCATGCGGATACTGGGAACAGAACGAGGTTGTTATGCAAGCGGTTCCAAGTCAGGGAAGACTCCCTGCGCCTCCCGAGCAAGAGGACAGAGGGCCAGACCAAAACGACCCTGGCCCTACCTGAAGGGGAGCCTGAGACCACAGGGCTTCTGCCCATGCCACACCGCACCAACCAGTCATTTCCTCCGCCTCAGCCAAATGTGCTATTCTGCTTCATTCTTATTTCGAAGCCTCAAGGCTGTGAGGCCCTTACCTGAGTGATAGGCTTGTCTGGGAAGAAGGAGTAAGAGGTGGAAGAGCCCGTGAGGATGTCCAACACCAAAGGGTTATCAGGATCGGCTACCATCCTGCAGCAAGACGAGAGCAGCCCAGCATTGGCCCCAGGAACTGAGCCCAACGACATGGGATCCCCAAGCCAGTTCTTCCCAGGAATGAATCCTTTTTTCTTAACTGCCAACCACTTAGCTCTCGTCTTGCTATAAAAACGGAGTTTGACTTCTTTTTTTTTGGGGGGCGGGGGACAGATCTCACTCTGTCCCCCAGGCTGGACTGCAGTGGCATGCTCTTGACTCACTGCAACCTCTGCCTCCTGGGTTCAAACGATTCTCCTGCCTTGGCCTTCCGAGTAGCTCAAACTACAGGCACACACCACCACGCCTGGCTAATTTTTATTTTTAGTAGAGACAGGGTCCCACCATATTGGTAAGGCTGGTCTCGAACTCCTGACCTCAGGTGATCTGCCCACCTCAGCCTCCCAAAGAGCTGGGATTACAGGTGTGAGCCACCATGCCCGGCCAACTTTTTTTTTTTTTTAAGAGAGAATGTCTCACTATGTTGCCCAGGCTGGTCTCCAACTCCTGGCCTCAAGTGATCCTCCTGCCTAGGCCTCCCAAAGTGCTGGGATTACAGGAGTGAGTCACTACACTTGGCCTTGGCTTAATATAATAAATAAATCTCATTTATATACCTCCAAATAATTACAATTCTGGCTTGATTTCCCAAAAAAAAAAATTAAGTGACCCCTTCTTCCCCCAGGTTTCTGCCAGCCTCTCCCTACTCACGCACCCAACACCTCGAAAGAGGATGGGATTTAGAGATGATTTCCCAACGATGGTTGGGGCCTTCAGCAGGTTCTCAGTGTCAGCCACGATGAGCGTATGCTGCAGAGAGCAGGCAGAAAGTAGAGTGGTGAGGAAAAGGTTCCCCAAGCCAGGGAGTACCTCCTCACTCCCTCTTGGTTTTTGGCTAAACCAAGCTTTGCCATATGTGCCTAAAACCTGGAAGGTGATAGTCTGATTACCTGGCCGAGGTCTGAGATGTCATAGTTGTGATGGTCAATGACAGCCGTTTTCTCCTCGTCAAACTCGATCCCGCACTCACTGCCCAGCTCTCGAAGAGGGTCACCTGCACAGACCCAAAAGACACCTGGCTAAGCCCTTACAGGGACCTTGGGCCAAGTGTCCTGGCTTCCTTGTGACTCCCTCTCGGCCAGTCAGCCCCAGTGCCCAGCAGCCCCAAATGAAGCCCTGGACAGCAACATGCTATTCTGCCTCCAGGAGTCAGAATCTGAACTGACATAACAGTTCCCTCACCGACTCCCAAGCTAAGGCCCACCAAGTCAATGCTAATTTGGCAGCTTCTGTTTGTAAATCTCTCCAATTCCCTGGAAGAGTAGAAGGCACCAGAACTTCCCAGGTCGGACTCACCAATGTCTGAGCTGGCAGCTACCAGCACACTGCCTCCACCATCAATAAAGGCACTGATGGTCTCCACGTTGATGTTGCCTCCAAAATCTGAAAGCAGGCACCAGACACAGTGACCCAGAGGTCTGCTCTCTCTGCTCCTCTGACACTGGCAGGGAGGGGACGGGAAGGGCAGAGCAGCCATGACTACTTGCAGAGAAGCACCCTTTGGAGGCCACAATAAGGGAGAGGTTTCCCACACCACATCCCAGAAAGGGCCATCCTCCCAGCATGAAGACTCAAAATGATGGCTTGGACTTAGAAACTTCTGGAGGTTTGGAGGAAATGGTCAAACATCTACTAATAACACTGGTCAAGCAAGCTGTGTGTATTTCAAGTCACACAGGAAATATGCATTTGGATATGTCGCACTGCCCATATTTCATGAAACAGCTTGGGTCAGGCTCATCACCTGCACCTTTCATGCTAGTGACATTGATAACTGGAGCCAGTTTCCAGAGCCTGTCAATTCCACTCCATCTAAATGGTTTGAGGAAGAGCACTTCTGCATCTCCAGGTGATGCCATCACTCGATACCAGTACTCCCTGGTCTGGCATGAGTCAATTTTTCCCCTATGAATCCTATAGATTCTATCCTGACATCCACAACAGAGCCACCCAGTACACTGCTTTATAAAAAGTGATCACCAGAAGGGCTCATTAATTTGTAACATTTGTAACTGTGAGATCCTACCCTTTTTTGGTCAATTAATTGGGTCATGTGACTACTGCCATTAGCTTCTAAAACTAGCACTGGGTGGGGCTATTGAGGCTCCAGAGTCTCCCCGAAGTGTACTCTGATGTTGAACCTAAGGTCATGAAGGGAGTCTCACTAATCTATTTACTCATTAAATAAGGAATTCCTGTGAGCCGAGAAGAAAAACAAAGTGGACAATATGGGAGGGGAGCTCTTAGGCCAAGGTTGTTCAGGGAAGACCTGACAAGTGACATCTGAGATGTAGGCATGAGCCAGGCAGTCTGTGGGGTAAGAGGATTCCCAGCATAGTGAACACCAGGTGCAAAGTCCCCGCGATGGGTGGACATGGTCACCAGCAAGGGGCCCAGTGCAGCTTAGCTAGAGAGAAAGGAGTGAGCAGCAGGAGGCAAGGCCGGGTGAAATGAGGGCACGGGCTGCACAGGGCTCTGCACCCCACACAAGGCTCTACCATGGGGAGCCACCAGAGGATTCCCAGCAGGATCCTGGCAGGATCTCATTCCTATTTTTCGAGGATGATCCTGGTGGCAGGGTAGAGACTAGGGTTTGAGGGTAAGAATGGCTGTGGTGATGGGTGAGAAGGCCACTGTGAAAATCTAGGCAGTGAAGAGCACTGAGCCAACCTTGGAGCAGAAATGGAGAGAGGAGTGGCAGGCTTCCATGCCTTCTGATGGCGCAGCCGCAGGGCCTGCTGATGGTTCTACAGGGGCATTAGAACAGCGCCAAGGAGACTGGCTGAACAAGCAGAAAGATGGATGTACCAATTTACTAAGACTGGACACAGAAGTGTGTCATTAGACCCCCCAGTAGCAGGTGGAAATGAGTCCATCAAACGACTTTGTAAAGATCTAAATATTAGAAGAGCCCTGTTTTTGAGGGGTAATCTTCAGCAGAAAATAAAAAGCACCTTAACTGACCTTCAGGCATACTCAGAGACTCCTCTTTTTTCTACCTCTACCTCTCATGCCACATTCAAAAAGCCATCTCTCCACTCTCCTTCGGAGAGGCCGGGCAGTCCTAGACACTCCAAAAGCAGCCTACGGCACAGTGCGGTGGTTTGCAATCTTGGGCAATTCTGCCCCTCAGAGCAATGTCCGGAGACATTTCTTCACTGTCACAGTAACAGGGAGGTGGCTACTGGCATTAGTGGGCCGAGGCCTGGGGCACTACTAAACACACTACAGTATGCAGGACAGCCTCACTGTAAAAAATTATCCAGTCTGAAATGTCAAGAGTGCACCTGTTGAGAAACTTTTATAGAGCAGACAGAACACGGGCTTTGAAATTGAGACTACCTGGGGTTAAAACCAGGCAAATCCCACCAGGTACAGTGGCTCATGCCTGTAATCCCAACACTTTGGGAGGCTGAAGTGGGTGGATCACCTGAGGTCGGGAGTTTGAGACCAAGCCTGACTAACATGGAGAAACCCCATCTCTACTAAAAAAAAAAAAAAAAAAAAAAAAAAAAAAAAAAAAAAAAAAAAAAAAAAAATTAGCCAAGCATGGTGGCACATGCCTGTAATCCCAGCTACTTGGAGGCTGAGGCAGGAGAATCATTTGAACCTGGGAAGCAGAGATTGCAGTGAGCTGAGATCAGGCATTGCACTCCAGCCTGGGCAACAAGAGCAAAACTCCATCTCAAAAAAAAAAACTAGGCAAATCCCTTCACTCTTCTGAACCTATTTCCCCATCTACAACAAGGATCTAGTTTCTCCCAGGTGCAGAAGATGCACTGAAAATTTCTTCCCTTGTAGCCATGACTGCCAGTGACCTGGGAGCCACAGAGGGCAAAGAAGTCACTGGGGCATGGAGAGGGCAGCCAGGCCAGCACTCACACACCTAAGAGGGTGATGGTGACGGCAGTCACGGGACCAAAGCAGGGCCCTGGGAGCAGGCACCAAACCCCCACCGTGAACCCTACCCCGAAGCCTTTCCCCAGGAATGCCTGAGAGGATTTCGCAGCAGCACCTTCCAAAGTGTGGAACCCACTCAACCAGAGGCAGAAAAAGTGGCAACAGTAATGCGGGAACCGGGCTTTAAATAACCTTGAATCTCAGAGAGAGCAAGTTACTCTCCTTCCTTATTTTTCAAGCTTTCTCCATCAAAGAGACTGTCTTAGTTTGATATTAGATGTTAGAACTTCTAATGCTTGCTAATCTCCTTTTTCAAGAGGGAATCCCAGGTTCAAAGCCTTCTGGCTAGAACTTAAGGGTGTTGTTTTTATTCTATTTATAGTTACCTTCTATGTACATCGAGTGACGACACTGGATTTCCATTTTCAGTAGTGATTCTGGGTTCACTAATGGTTCCCTTTGAAAATGACATTTTTAGTTTTTCTTTTCTTTTTTTTTTGAGACAGGGTCTTGCTCTGCCGCCCAGGCTGGAGTGCAGTTGGCATGATCTCAGCTCACTGTAGCCTTGACCACCAGGGCTCAGCAATCCTCTCACCTCAGCTTCTCTAGAAGCTGGGACTACAGGCATGCGCCACCATGCCTGGCTAATTTTGTTCCCTTTTTGTAGAGACGAGATTTCACTATGTTGCCCAGGCTGGTCTCAAACTCCTGGACTCAAACAATCCTTCTGCCTTGGCCTCCCAAAGTGATGGGACTACAGGGATAAGCTATCCTACCTGGTCTTTTTTTTTTTTTTAAAGCAGGTCAATTTGAAGACAAATATTAGGTAGTTATTAGCACAGGAGATATATAACTTGGTAAAAATCATGAAGGATGTGTGCAAATGACTAAAGTTTGGGAAATACTGTTTTACCCTCTGCCGTTTCTCACACGAACAGTATCCTCTGTCAGCCCTCTTCCGATCAGTCTCATTCACTGCTTCTTTCCTTCCAACCTATACGAGCCAACAGTGCCTCCACTTCATCTTACACCCTGACACAGGGTTTGGTAACTCATTTCAAGCCTTTATTTTTATTTCCTCAAAAACAGACTGAAAGAATTCCTCAAGGGCAGACTCCCTGTCCTTAAGATCTCACCCAGTCCACTGTACGGTACCTATTTCAAAGTTTCAAACACAATAAAAACTTGGCGAACACCAGTGACTGCACTGAAGGCTCCATTCACCTGCCCAGCCACCTGAAGCTTTCAACTTGCCCAATTTGGGGTGACATCTACCTAACTATTCCTGCCTTCAGAAAGCCACTTCCAAAAGCACATGTTGCAAGGGAGCTGGGAATAACACAGTTAAGTGACAGAAGCCCAGAAAAATACTTCGGGGATTTGGCGAACCGAATCTCAGGTGAACTACAGAGAATAAAGAAGCCGCATCCCAGTTATTCAGTCCCAGTTACTCAGGAGGCTGAGGAGGGAGGACTTGAGCCTGGGAGATTGAGGCTGCAGTGAGCCATGATGGATCGCATCACTGCACTCAGCCTGGAGGACAGAGCAAGACGCTGTCTCAAAAAAAAATGCTGGACACAGTGGCTCGTGCCTGTAATCCATAATCCCAACACTTTGGGAGGCCGAGGCAGGTGGATCACGAGGTCAGGAGTTCAAGACCAGCCTGGCCAAGATGGTGAAACCTCATCTCTACTGAAAATACAAAAAAAATTAGCCAGACGTGGTGGCAGGCACCTGTAATCCCAGCTACTCAGGAGGCTGAGGCAGAGAATTGCTTGAATCCAGAAGGCGGAGGTTGCAGTGAGCCGAGATAGTGCCACTGCACTCCAGCCTGGGCAACAGAGCAAGACTCTGTCTCAAAAAAGAAAAAAAAAAAAGGGCACCAATGAAGAACTTCCTGAGCTTCATCAACTGAAGGGAGGAAGGCGGTCCTGTCTTACTCAGACAAGGAAACCTTGTGTCTTTTGAGAAAAAGGTAAACTGAAGCAAATAAGAGAATGACTAATATGCTCATCAAAAAAGTATGGCCAAAGAGAAATGTCCAAAGAAGCTGGGGATATTTAGTCTGGAGGAGAAACAACCAAACAAGCTATGATTATTTGAAGGCTATGCCTCCAAGCCAGACTAGCATTAGATTTTTTTTTTATCTAAGGTGCTGGAGAGCATAAGAATAAAATAAAGCAAGACATAATATTTGTTTAATATAAGAACTTCTTAACAGAATTGTCCAGTGGTGGTTTGGATTGCCTCATAAAACAGGAATACTCAAGTATAAACTGGATAATCTGGCCAAGATATTCATTCTGTTGAATAACTAGCCCTCTGCTAGGCTGCTGGATGTATCTATCCGGCCTCAAATGGGAGGAGGGATGGGGTGGTAGATAATTGCTAAGCCTCTTTTTTCAGCCTGAGACTATGAATCTATCTGAATTTTTTTTTTTTTTGAGACGGAGTTTCGCTCTTGTTACCCAGGCTGGAGTGCAATGGCGCAATCTCGGCTCACCGCAACCTCCGCCTCCTGGGTTCAGGCAATTCTCCTGCCTCAGCCTCCTGAGTAGCTGGGATTACAGGCTACTCAGCTAATTATTACCACCTGCCCAGCTAATTATCTATCTGAATTTTTAAGATCAACTACCGTAATGCAAAATGCCTCTTTACAGCAATCCATATTAATAACAGGCCATTTCCTTTTCCTACCCAAGCAAACCCAACCTAGGAGCTTTCCATCTTTCTGTCAGGCCCTTTACAGAGTAAACTCCCTTCTCAGTAGAGCAGCAGGACCCTGGGTTCCATGGTCTACAGCAACACTTAACCCCACAATCCTTAGCTGTGCCTTTTAGAAAGATGTCTCCTCCTGGGCTCAGGTCAGAAATCAACATTTCCTCTTCTCTGGTAGCAGCGCCCAGGACTGGCAACCCATCCTGTGACCCAGGACATGCCAAGAACCAGAAGAAAGCAACCCATCAGTCCCGGGTCTCGAATCCCAGTGCTAGGGGCGACGTGGAGCCCTTACCTTCTACCGAGGGGGAGAAAATGATGAGATTGTCATAGAGGAATTCCCCATACTTAATGAGAGACAGGCTGGGGTCATCAGCGGTCTTGAATGTGAGCTCAAAGCCCCGGTCTGGACAAGAAAAAAACAGGTAGTTGAGGAAGATTGGATGCGAAGGGAAACCCCTGCTGCAGACATCGCGGACCCGCACCCTAAGCGGCAGGCCAGACCCGGGCGGCCTGCTCCGGGAAAGAGTGGGAGGGGGAGTGGTCAAAGCCCTAGATGCCGTTCCAACCCCAGGCCCCCACACGCCGCCCCCTCGGACCCCACTCTCACCCCTCAGGCTCCGGAAGAAAAGGGAATGAGTTTCCCGCAGGTTGAGGTTGTCCAGCAGCACTAAAGTGCGGGGTCCGCTAGCGCAAACCGCGCCAAACAACGGCAGCAGCAGCCAAAAGTGGGCCCAAGCCCGGGCCGCGATGCTGGGCTCCATCTTCCTCCTCCTTCCAAAGAACCCAGCGCCTGGACACCGGAAGTACCCCGTCTACGGTAGCCAATCGCGGCTCGTAGCCGTGGAGCACCACCCGGAAGTGATAGGCATACGCCGGAGCTGGGCCTCCAAAGCCGGAGCTTTGGCGGTAAAGAGCAGACAGAACCACCGGAAGTGTCCCGGTGGGTGGTGAATTCCTTTAACCCTATTGGTGGGAGTGGATCAAGGCCCCGCCTCCCTAAAGAAAAGGCTTAATCCTAGAGAGACAGCTCTGCAGCCTCGGCCAATCAACAAGGCCGAGCGCCCTTTGGGGCGCCCAGGCCGGCCTCCCTCCCCTAATCCGGAGTCCGCTTCCCGCTGAAGTGTGTCTTCCTTAGGCTTGACCGTCGCGTCCTGGACAGGGTGTGGAGCCATATTCTCGCTGGCGAGGTCTTCGCTGGGCCTGGGAAGGCTCGGGGCCAGGAACTGGGCCTCACCCCCACCATCTCTAGGGAGGAGGGGTTAGAAGAATAAGATCAGGGCCACACTTGGAGCCTCGTCCCTGCCGCTCGTGGCTCCAGGGGCCATGGCACGGACGGGCCTGTCCTGTCCTGCCCAGCTCGGTGGCCCACGCTGGAGACTGTGGGTGGGCAGTGAACTGGCCTAGCGATGGTTCAATTTCCAAGCTGCATCCCTCACTAGCCGTTACTCAGGCATTGCACTTCTCTCCGGACGGTTTCCCTGGCTGTAAATAGGGCCAAGGACGAGACCCAGCTCCGCTGCATATCTGTGTGTCTTAGGAACAGCCATCTAATTATTTCATTTCTGGGCTCCTGGGAGGAACAAGGCAGATTTTGAAGCACTTTGCGCCGGGCCAGTAACGTAGGCTCCCAGCTCTTCTAGGTTAATACAGAAGCCACCCCGGTCACCTCAGAACTGCCTTTGTCCACTAAGGGTCTAAGTAAAAACTACCACAAGCAGCTCCAAGACTTCCACTGTCCTCTGGGTCCCAACCACAATCCTTAGGCCAATGGTGACAGCAGTTGTAGAGAAAGAAGGTAGCCGTTCCTTTCTGACACCTGTCCACCAACCCAAGAATGGGGCAAAAATCAAATCCTCCTTCCATGCACCTTCTTAACAGACTCAACGTGCTCTCCATTCCCACTGGCTCACCCCAAGTTAAGCCTCTGGCCCCTGGCTCCTGCACCCTAATTCCTGCTCCCAAGCCCAGCCCTTCCACCCTCGACACAGTACCACATCCACCCACCTCTAATTCAGAGCCAATGGTGTTAAACTTCTTAAGAGTCTGTCACAGCTCAGGGACACCCCAAGGCTCTTCACTCTCAGGTCTCCACCTGCACTCATCTCAGCAGCCTCATCCCCTCTCAGTCCTTGCTCAGGGCTTCCATGGAACGGAATGGCCCAGCCTTTAATATTCTGAGTTCCACACCTCTTCCCTTTTGCTATGCAGTGCTCTCCACCAGGAGCGCCCTCCTTACACCCCCATCTTAAACCCTGAACAGCTGCGCTCCAGCCTGGGCAACAGAGCGAGACTCTGTCTCAAAAAAATCATTTTTTTAAAGTCCTGATCTTACCTGCTCTGACTCAGGAGGCACAGCTGCCTGCCTCTGGCTGGACATCTCTGTGGTTGTCTAAGCACACCTACCCCAGATTCTTAAGAGTGTGAGCTCCTCGGCCCAGGCATATGGCTTGTGGAAACTGATTTAAAATAGGGAGGAGGAAGACTAATGCAGAGCACCTGCTGTGCCCCAGGAGCTTTACATCCTATCTCATTTAATCTTCACATTAACCCTATGAGGCGGGCGTTATCCCCATTTCAAACATGAGACTCAGAGTGAAATGAGGTTCCAGGACTGTGCCGGAGGCCAAGCCTTTTCCCTTAGATAGTGGAGCCTCCCCACAGGACAGGCCTGGGATACTGTGGGCAAGGGGAGGGCTGTGTCCTAGGTAGCCTCCTATATGGGCACAAACAGGGTGGCCTGGTTTCATTTCTGGCTATGTCAGGACACCCAGTCCCAGCACAGCCCCCAGGACTGTCAAAACCTGGGCCCTTTTCTGGTCTCAGGGAGACATGGCCCTATTTTCCACAGCAAGGGGTCTGCTTTCCTGGGTCACAGATCCTTTGAGAATCTAATGAAAATCCAGATGCTCTTCCCAGAAGAATGTACTCACGATTGTAGGGAGCTGCAGAAACCCTGGAGGACCCAGGCAAAAAACCCTTGTTCCAGAAAGAGCTTCCCTGGGGCAGCCGGGCCACAATGGCAGGGAGGGGCCCCAAGTGACACTGTCAGAGGGTCAGAGAAGGGGAGCTTGTCTTAAAAGCAATTTATTGGTCAGTTTGATGTGGAGTTGCCTTCCCTGGGCCACAGTCCAACCAGGGGTGGGCAGTGCAGGAAGAGCTGCTGTGGGACCCCTGTGCCACCCCATGGGGCAGGGCAGTTCTCAGGAAGTGGGGCCGGTCAGACAGAGGCACAGTTCCTTCCCAGCTGATATTGAGCTTCCTTCACATGGTAGTTGCTGCCCACTCCATCAGGGCTGGTGAAGGCCATGAAGCAGCTCCGAGGCTTTGAGGCAAAGGGCAACACTGGTGGGCATAGGTGGTGGGCTCAGTGGCAGGTGAGCAGACAGAAACACTGACATGGTGCAGGCCTCTCTAAGGAGGACAGTCCAGCCTCCCAGGGACTCCTGCCCCAGGCACAGGTGGGCTCTCTGGGGAACAGGGAAGGCGATGTGTCTTCCCAGGGCTAAGGGAGCCCTCGGGCCCCAGAGCACTGTGTGGGAGTGGGGGGGAGGCCTGGCTGGGGCTGCCCTGGGAGGGCCTGGCAGTCTCTAGAAGCCTATACTATAAGGCAGGCAATGGCGGGCAGCTGTGCTCACAGAGGCTCACTCCCAAAGTTGTTTTTGCTTTTCTTACGCTTGGCCTTGGTGAAAGGGATGTCGAGGGACTTGAGGCGGAAGGGCCGGGGCTGGGGCATTTCAGGGGCCTGGGTAGGGGGGATGGCAGGGTTGTTGCTGAGTGGGCAGCCGAGGCCTGGTGGCGAGTTGTGATATGCTGTGGAGAAGAGGGACAGAGGTGCTGGTAAGTCAGGAGAGCGGGGATGGAGAGAAAACGCCCCAGTGGGGAGAGTGGGGAGCCTGGCCTGCCCAGCTCCCTCCCTCCCTCCTGCCCAGCCAGAGGCCCTGGCCCTGCAGCTGGGGGACCCCAGGCTCTGCAAGGCTGCTCTGGCTGAGGTCTGAGACCCAGCAACTATGTCAGCATCCAAAGGGGCTGAGCTGGGAGTTGGGGCTTCCCAAAGCCTGATCTCAAGCCAAACAAGCCCGGGTTCAAAGCCCAGCTCCACTGCTTCCTATCACCTCAGAGAAGCTGCTTCATCTCTGAGCCTCAGTTTCCTCATCTGCCACATGGGCAAAATGCCAGGCACTCAATTAATCCTATTTCCACCACCCCCCCCACATTCCTCAACTCTACCCATCCTATCTCCTAAATAACCTCAATATATGGAACTAAAATTTACTCTTTTTTTGAGACAAAGTCTCACTCTGTCATCCAGGCTGGAGTGCAGTGGCACAGTCTCAGGTCACTGCAACCTCCGCCTCCCGGGTTCAAACAATTCTCCTGCCTCTGCCTCCCGAGTAGCTGGGACTACAGGCACATGCCACTACAGCCTGGCTAATTTTGTATTTTTAGTAGAGACAGGGTTTTACCATGTTGGCCAGGCTAGTCTTGAACTCCTGGCCTCAAATGATCCACCCACCTCAGCCTGTCAAAGTGCTGGGATTATAGCCATGAGCTACCTTGCCTGACCAAGATTTGCTTTTTATTGCTATTTTATTGGAATCTCTGTGGGCTTTGCTTTCAGTTTAAAAGCACAGAAAATGAAGTGATGCTTAATTTTTAAAAGCGTGTTTTGCATTTATGGCCCTTGATAAATGAAGTCAATCTTCATTTGGAGGAAGTCACAATGCTGATGTGTGACTTGCCAGGAAGCTGGCGTGTAACTAGTGAGACCTAAACCCAGGCATCCCCAGCCAGGCCCCTGAGCCATGCGCTGAGTGCCGGGGAGACGGGTGGAGCAAAGAGGAGACTCTGTATTGACCACCAGGCCCCGGGCTGGGCGTTTCTGCACCTCGTCTCACCTAATCCTGAGAAGCTGGTGTTGCTCTCCTCATTTTGTAGCTAAGGAAACTGAGGCTCCGAGAGGGAAAGGAATTTCTGAACCCAGGTCTGACTTCAAAACTACCCCCTCATGCCTCTCCCAGCTATGTGGAGAGGGTGGGGGCAGGGGAGGGACTGTCCCCTCACTGTCCCTTCAGTGAATGAGGGACACTCACTGAGGCTCTTCCTGGCATCCGTACTGAGGATGTGGCTGGCCCGCTTAGACCGGAAGTAGTTGCTGGCGATGTTTTCACTCTGGCTCCGACTGAGCATGAGCCTGTAGCGGTCCTCCTCCTGCGGAGATGCAGATGCCCATGGTCATCCCCCTCGTTTGTGCCCCTGGCACAGGGCTCAGCAGCCTTTGGCATCCTGGGGCAGTGGGGGCCACCCCAAGCCTCCCCCAGGTTGTCACAGGGCTGGAGCAGGCTCTGCCCGCTCTGGTATATCCTACACCATAGACCCTGGACTCATGGGTGGGATCCCAGGCAGCTTGGGCCAGGGAGTCACAGTCCCCAGCCAAGCCTGCACCTGACCTCCCCTTCCTTGAGATGGGAAGGGCCTTATTCTATCCTACAAAGCTCAAAACAGAGTGTCCTACCAGCTCCCACAGGGGCCAGGGTGATGCACAAACCCCAAATCTATCATGATGTGTTCAAAGAACAGGCAATATGATACTATCCTTGGCTCACTGGTGCATTTGTGATCATTAGAACTGGAATTCTAATCTTTTTATCACCAAGGGCTATTATTTCTCACCACTATCATGGAACTTGTTTTCTTCAGTCTAAATCTCCTTTTTCGGGGAATTGTCCTTCTCCCACTTGATGGTTCCAGTGGAGTGAGCATTCATAGTGCCCAATACTACGCGTGACTCCCAGCCGCTTGCTACACAGCTGGACATGTGACCCAAACTGCACCAATCACAGAACCACATCTTCCTAAACACAGTAATTCGTCCAAGAGTAGGCCCATGACCCAAGCAGAGCAAATCAGAATCTCTCCCCAAGCTGTAGCTTAAGGATTCTTTAAGACAATGGTCTCCAACCCCAGGCCATGGACTGGTACCAGTCCGTGGCCTGTTAGGAACTGGGCTGCACAGCAGGAAGTGAGCGACAGGTGAGCAAGTGAAGCTTTGTCTGTATTTACAGCTGTTCCCCATCACTCCAGTTATTGCCTGAGCTCCGCCTCCTGTCAGATCAGCAGTGGCATCAGATTCTCAGAGGAGCAAGAACTCTATTATGAACGTGCATGTGATGGACCTAGGTTGCATGTGCTCCTTATGAGAATCTAATGCCTGATGATCTGTCACTGCCTCCCGTCACCCCCAGATGGGGCCATCTAGTTGCAGAAAAACAAGCTCAGGGCTCCCACTGATGCTACATTATGGTGAGTTGTATCATTATTTCATTACATATTACAATATAATACTAATAGAAATGAAGTCCACATTAAATGTAATGCACCTGAATAATCCTGAAACTATCTGACCCCCTAGCTGTCCCAGTCTGTGGGAAAATTGTCATCCACGAAACTAGTCCCTGGTGCCAAAATGACTGGGGACAGTTGCTTTAACAAACCAGGCCTCTCTTCCTTTTGGATCACCAATGGCCAGCAGCCATCCTTCCGGCCATATGGAGAAAGCCTGCAGCTAGCATACCAAGGGAAGAAGGAACAAGAAGTGAAGACAGACACACACCCCAAATGTTTCAGCCCCTAGATCCAACCATGTCTGAAACTGGTCCATTTACAGGAACTAAAAACTTCCCTATTTTCTCATGATTGTTTGCTTTGGTATCTCCCTATCACTTGGAGCTGAAAGCATACTGACATAACCTCTCTGTGGTCCCAGATTAAGAATGTCTTTTTTCCTGGCAGCAACTTGCCTTTTTTTGAGAAGCTGTCAGTCAAGCTTTAGACCAGCATGAGTGGCCCCTTGCAGCCTGAGTTGCTCAGCCAGAGATGTTTGGTTGGAATTCATTAGCCTAGGAGTGGCCTTATCATAACTATAAAGGTATATTCTACGTGGGTTTTCTGAAATATTTATAATGGCTTAAGGGAATCAGCTAATTATAGCAAAGAGACCAAATCTGGCCTGCAGACTGTTTTTGTAAATAAAGCTTTATTGAAACACCATTCATTTGTGTATTACCTGTGGCTGTTGTGTGCTACAGTGGCAAAGTTGAGTGGTTGTGACAGAAACCATGTGGTTCTCAAAGCCCAAGATATTTATGATCAGGTCCTTTACAGAAAAAGTTTGCTGACCCCTTGTTTTGAACAAAACTCTGAGTTTCTCTATTAACTTAGCTTGTAGCTACTGTCCCCAGCAGCTGCCAGAGGCCCAGACACAAGGACACTAGCAGGGGGTCCAGCTGCCTGGGTCCCTCTCTGGTGGCTCTGCCTAGCCTGAGGCTCTGTAAATAACAACTTTCACATCGTTGCTCATGGACTTGTGTCGTGGAAGCTGTGCCTGCAATCCAACCCTTGATGACCAGGCCATGCCAAGGGACCTGTGGATTCCTGCTGGTGCCCTTCTGTCTAAGCCTTTGGTGGCTGCTGGGGACAGCAGCTCCCAGCTAAGTTAACTTGAAGAGTTTCACTGAAAATACCTCTGCTTGTCTGGGCACAGTGGCTCACGCCTATAATCCCAATACTTTGGGAGTCCAAGGCAGGCAGATCATGAGGCCAGGAGTTTGAGACCAGCCTGGCCAACGTAGCAAAACCCTGTTTCTACTAAAAATACAAAAATTAGCCAGGTGTGGAGGTGGGTGCCTGTAATCTCAGCTACTCAGAATGCTGAGGCACGAGAACCACGTGAACCCAGGAGGTGAAGGTTTCAGTGAGCCAAGATCATGCCACTGCACTCCAGACTGGGTGATGAAGTGAAACTGTCCCCACAAAGAAAGAGGAAAACACCCCAGCTTTAATAACATGCATTCCTGTTGCACCACCAAATATAGGAGACAGGTTCTTGCCAGTGAGCTTAGAAAAAGAAAAAAAAGACAGAATATGAGAGAGAGAGGAAAATTAAGTGACAGGAATCTCAATTACTGCTTCACGAACCCTCTGAGGACCCTTTTGGTCTGAGGATACCAGCTGGGGCCCAGGAAACCAGAATGTGCTGCTTGTCCTCTGGGTTTGAGGCTGAAGCCTCTGTCCTTCACCGGCAAGATGGGCCACCGGGAACTTGGTCTTTACAACTGTGAGTGCCTTTGAATGAGGGCCAGAGGGGGTTGAGGGTCTAGGTGCCAATGGAGGGACATGAAAAGGATCCAGCCTTGACCCCTTCTTTAATCCTTAGGTGGGAGGAAAGTAGAAGACCAACTCTCTGCAGTAGGGCTGACCCATGGCACTGCGGGCAAAGCCCTCCCATCCCCAACGCCCCACTCCCTCTCCCAGGGTCCTCACCATGTTCGGCTCGCCATTCTCTGCTTTAGAGGTTTTTTGGGCTGGTTTGTTCTGTGGCCCAGTTGAAACTGCTGTGAGAAAACAAAAGCTGAAGTCACTGCTGCTTGGTGCGAGGTCCAGAGTGGGGCGCGGGTGGAGGTGGGGGTCAGGCCTGGCTCAGGCTTCAACGGGGAGGACACTTCCCTGCCCAAGCGAAGGGAGGATTTTAAGAAACAGCAAGAGGGGCTCAGATACTGGAGAAGCCCCTTGCCTGATTCCAGGCAAGACAGCAGGCGAGGGACTTGGAAGCCCGTGGCAAGGGTGGAGACAGACAGGAAGGCTGCTACATCCTAGAGCATGTGGGAAATGGAGCAGGCTGGGGTCTCAGCAGGGAGGGTGTCAATGCCATCTACAAACACCCAAGATTTCGGACCTGGATGAACATTCTGACCAAGAGGGAGGACTCCCGGCAGGCACTGTGGGCTCCCCACATGGGCAGAGCCAGCTCCGTGGCTGGAGAAAGCCACAGCATGCCTGGCTTTACTCTGAGACTCAGCAGAAGTGAGAAGGCCTTCAAGGTCATCTTATCCAACCCATTCTTTGTAAAGAAGCCCAGAGAGGGACAGTGATCTTTGTAAGGTCACACAGGAAGTCAGCAGCAAGAGTGGAAGTTGAACCAGGCCTGAAACTCTGAACTGTGGGTTTCGACCAATGGTCCTCCCACTCACTGCTGTGACTGTGACTCTGGACCCTCTGAGTGTGTCCTTATATGTGAAATGGGTAGAAAACCTTACAACATTCCTTCTCAGGGCTGTTGTAAGGATGAAGCAGTGACCATGCTGATTCGGGTAATGCCGACACAGCAAGCACTCACTATATGCCAGGCACTGCTCTAAGGGTTTTATGTATATTAATACATTTCTGGGTTTTGGGGGGGTGGTTTTTTTTGAGACAGGGTCTCCTTTGTCACCCTAGCTGGAGTGCAGGGGCACGATCTTTGCTCACTGTAGCCTTGACTTCCTGAGCTCAAGCGATCCTCCTGCCTCAGTGTCCCAAGCAGCTGGGACTACAGGTATGCACCACCATGCCTGTCTAATTTTTGAGACAGAGTCTCACTCTGTTGCTCAGACTGAAGTGCAGTGGCACAATCTTGGCTCACTGTAACCTCCGCCTCCGGGCTTCAAGTGATTCTTGGCCTCAGCTTCCCAAATGATTGGGATTACAGGCGCCCACCACCACGCCCGGCTAATTTTTGTATTTTTAGTAGAGACTGGGTTTCACCACATTAGACGCCTGGCTAATTTTTGTATTCTTTTTTAAAAACAGGGTTTCACCATGTTGGCCAGGCTGGTCTCAAACTCCTGGATTCAAGCAATCCACCAGCTTCAGCCTCCCAAAGTGATTACAGGCATGAGCCACTGCACCTGGCCTATTAACACATTTCAAGCCTTATAGCAACTTTAAGAAAGGTGCTGTTATTCACCCTCATTTCACGGATGAGGACACCGAGTCCCAAAAAGGTCACACAGGAAATGGTGCTGCCAGAATTCCAGCCCACATCTGTCTGCCTCCAGAACACACTGCTGTCTCAGAGTCCTGATGTGTCAGCTACCCAGGGTCACGTGTCTGCTACACCCACAGGCTGCAAGGAGAGGCCCACGCTCCCTGCGAGTCTGCAGGATGGTGAACTGTGAAGGAGGGAGGGAAGGGCAAGGGCCAGTCAAGCTCCTGACCTACTGGGAGGCTGGTTTTGATGATGGCAGGCTGTGGGATCTTCCAGAAGCCATTATCTTCATCCCAGCAGGACTCACGCCGAATCTTCTCAAGGTTGCTATAGTTACAGTCCCTGCGAATCAGGGGCTGCACCTGCTCCAGGAGCTGCTGCAAGAGCATGGAGTCACGCTCCTGCCGGCGGATGGTGGCCAAGTAATCGATCTTCTCCAGCTGAAACTCGGACTGCAGGTCCTTGATCTCCACCTCTGCGGCCCGAAGCTGAAAGCAAAGGACGACAAGCAGTGATCAAGGAAAGATACCTCCCCTCCTGTCTAACCAGCCTGTCCACTCACTGTCCTGCTGACAGCCAAGCGTCGTCTGTTCATTGGCCTGATCAGTCATCCATTCTCATCCCCACCACCCATCCAGCCATCCTTCCCTCTATCCATCCACCTTCTCTCACACCCACCCATCCTTCCAGCCGTGCAATCACCCTGCTGCCTCTCCACCTAGCATTTAAATGAGCACCTAATTGTGTCCCCCCAGCCCTGCAAAATGTAGGGGAAAAGTTGACCAGCAACTCCAACAGCCAGCCCTCAGTCACTACCCCCATTGTACATTTTATTCCGGAGCCTTTGAGAAGTCCCCACATCCAACATCACAGTTCTAAAGGAACTCACAGAATTGCACGAGTGACTTCTCCAAGGAGGGCAACAGGCCCAAACTCTCTGACCTGATGATCCTCACTCTCCCACTGCCACAGCCCTGTGTTACGATGTGACACACACTGGACCTAAGAGTAAGACACACCTTGATCTGATCAAGCGTTCCAGATTCCTTTGGTCTCCTGCTCCAGTCTGCCAGACTGGTCTCCTGGTCCCTCCTGAGCACAGGTGACTGCCAGCCCCAGCTGGAACCACACTCTCTCTGAGCCCCACCAAGACACCCGGGTGCACAGTCTGTTTCCACAAAGAGCAGGTACGGTTTGGTTAGTAAACAAGGATGTAGGGCCGGGCACAGTGGCTCACGCCTGTAATCCCAGCACTTTGGGAGGCCGAGGTGGGTGGATCACCTGAGGTCAGGAGTTCGAGACCAGCCTGGCCAACATGGTGAAACTCCCTCTCTACTAAAAATATAAAAAATAGCTGGGCGTGGTGGCGCACACCTGTAATCCCAGCTACTCGGGAAGCTGTGGCAGGACAATCGCTTGAACTCGGGAGGCAGAGGTTGCAGTGAGCCAAGACAGCAGTACTGCACTCCAGCCTGGGTGACAGAGCGAGACTCTGTCTCAAAAAAAAAAAAAAAAAAAGCAATGAATCAAGCTGTGCATTTGTAATTTGTGCACTTAATCCTTAATAAAAATGAAAACACAAAAGCAGAGTTGTCTTGCCCTGGTATTCTCTTCACAGCACTGACCACTCCTTGATATTCTCTTGCTTACTTCTGCACTGTGTTATTTCTTACACACACAAACATACACACATGCCTACACACACACATAACACACACAGTGGGAGGCAAGCTCCATGACAACAGGGACATAATCCATCGCTGTGTCTGCTCTGCCTGCCAGCATCACAACAGGGTGTGTCACACAGTAGGCACTTAATAAATGCTTCCAGCCTGGGCAATATGGTGAGACCCTGTCTCTGCAAAAAATTAAAAACATTAGCCAGGCATGGTGGCACACACCTGTAGTCGCAGCTACTCAGGAGGCTGAGGCAGGAAGATGGCTTGAGTCCAGGAGGTGGAGGCTGCAGTGAGCTGATTGTACACTGCACTCCAGCCTGGGTGACAGAGACAGACCCTGTCCCTAAAAGTAAATAATAAATGCGGGCCGGGCGTGGTGGCTCACGCTTGAAATCTCAGCACTCTGGGAGGCCGAGGAGGGTGGATCATGAGGTCATGAGGTCAGGAGTTCAAGACCAGCCTGACCAACATGGTGAAACCTTGTCTCTACTAAAAATACAAACATTAGCCAGGCGTGGTGGTGTGCACCTGTAGTCCCAGCTACTCGGGAGGCTGAGGCAGGAGAATCACTTGAACCCGGGAGGCGGAGGTTGCAGTGAGCCAAGACCAAGCCATTGCACTCCAGCCTGGGTGACAGAGGGAGACTCTGTCTCAAAAATAAATAAATAAATAATGATAATAATAATAAGAAATGCCTGCGTGCTGTGTAAAAAGTAGAGGGCTGCCTGGCTTCCCACAGGTGTAGTGATGCCTGGATACGAGGGTCTTGCCCACCTCTAGGAGCCCGGCAGGGGGTCAGGGGGGCTGACCCGGGCCTCACCTTCCTCTGCATCTTCTCCAGCAGCTTGCTCTTGGCCCGCACTTCCTCCTGGATGGAGTCGTAGACGTTGAGCAGCACCCAGTCCCCGCTGTCCTCATCCGTGTTCTGCAGGGCAGCCAGCAGCTGCTTCCTGCGCTCGTCTGCATACCGCTTGCGCCACTTGTGCTTCTCCTTCAGGTCCTTGTTCTTGGCCTGCTCTCCACCCACCACCTGCCGCTCCAGCAGCTGCAGACTGTCGGCGCCGTGGAGAAAGCCAATGAGACAATCTCTGCCCATCACTGAGCACCTGCCATCCAGCAGGCTCCAGGCTATGTGTTGGCCCACCAAATCCTTCCAACAACCCCACTTCACGGGGAGGGAAACCAAGGCTCAGCCACAGGACGCTGGTTGCCCAGGGTCACAACCAGATTCCTGCCCAACTCCCTGCCTGTGCCCTCGACTGCAGTGGTGGGTCAGGGCGGGAATCTTCCTGTGGGCTCAGCTAACCCATCCCTCACCTGCTAACCTCCCAGGCTGGGGGTCCCCACAGCTGAGTGGGCTGGTTCTGTGTCTGAGGTCACTGGCATGATTAGAAGAAACCTGAGCTGTGAAAAATGCTCAATATACTCAGTGCACAATATTTAATCAGGCAGGAACATGTACAATACATGGTTAAGACTATGTCCAAAATGCTCAAAAATGGTTAGAGTTTTGACATGTAAAGATACAAACTTGGCCAGGCACAGTGGCTCACTCCTGTAATCCCAGCACTTTGGGAGGCTGAGGCGGGCAGATCACCTGAAGTCAAGAGTTTGAGACCAGCCTGGCCAACATGGTGAAACCCTGTCTCTACTTAAAAATATATAAATTAGCTGGGAGCCTGTGGCAGGCGCCTGTAAGTCCAGCTACTCGGGAGGCTGAGGCAGGAGAATCGCTTGAACTCAGGAGGCAGAGGTTGCAGTGAGCCGAGATCACGTCATTGCACTCCGGCCTGGGGGACAAGATCGAGACTTCATCTCAAAAAAAAAAAAGTACAAATTTTAGGCTGGTGCGGTGGCTCACATCTACAATCCCAACACTTGGGGAGGCTGAGGCAGGTAGACTGCTTGAGACCAGCCTGGGCAACATAGAGAGATTCCATCTCTACCAAAAAAAAAAAATCAATACAAATGCACTAATGACAAAAAAAAAAAAAGGTACAAATTTTAAACACAGAGAAAGAGTTGCGGGAACTCCCACCTCACTGGCTAATGAAGTGCCACAGACATGTTTCAAACCCCACCTCTTTCCAAAGGGAGTGGGTAGGTGGTACCCAAAGCCTCGCTAAGGATTTACAGAAGGAGGAGAGGATCATGCTCGGGAGAAACTGGAGCTTTGCAACCCGAGCAGCCAGGCTCTGGCAGCTTCAGGCTTGGCTCCATGCTTCATGGCAGCCGGCACAGAAAGGAGTCACGACTACATCACCACTCTGTTTAAAATCCTGCTGTGGGGCTGGGTGCGATGGCTCACGCCTGTAATCCCACCACTTTGGGAGGCCAAGGCGGGTGGATCATGAGGTCAAGAGTTCGAGACAAGCCTGACCAACATGGTGAAACCCCGTCTCTACTAAAAATACAAAAATTAGCCGGGTGTGGTGGTGCACACCTGTAATCCCAGCTACTTAGGCGGCTGAGGCAGGAGAATCGCTTGAACCCGGGAGGCAGAGGTTGCAGTGAGCTGACACTGTGCCACTGCACTCCAGCCTGGGTGACAGTGCGAAACTCCATCTCAAAAAAAAAAAAAAAAATCCTGCTGTGGGCCTCCATCAGGATGAAGCCCAAGCACTCGAGGAGGGCACACAGAGTCCTCCCTCCATCTCCCCTGCACCCCCACCCGCTCACTCCAGCTTCACTCACTGCTCGCACGTCTCTAAAAGCCCCCGCCAGGTCCCACCTCCACCCCTTTGCAGGTGCTGCGCTCTGTCTCCAGGATGCCACCCCTGCAGCAAACCTTATTCATGTTTCCTCTTCTGTGAAGGCTCCCAGCCTTCCCTCCACACCACACTGAAAACAGCCAGGACACATGCCAAGTATGTTCCACATGCCCAGCATGGGGCTGCCACACTACAGGTAACGCCTCATATTCACCCTCACCGCAAGCTTCTCACTCTGGGACTGGTATCGCCCATTCTGAAGATGGGCAGCGAAGGCACAGAGAGGTTTCAAGTCGGCCCGAGGTGGCAGAGCTAGTGGGGGAGGCAGGCTGGCAAGTGCTGGAGAGCAGGGCTCTCCTGGCCAGGCCTGTCTTCTGCCGTGACCTGGGGGCCCTTGGGGGTGAGGTAGCAGCTCGCTCATCCTTGGGTCCTGTGCCAGCACTCAGGAGTTGCTCAGTTAAGTGTTTGAACTGTGGTCTCTGGGACTGGGTCTCCCCCTGCTGAACCCTCGGATGACCATGGCATGGAGGTCAGGCTGACATCATCATTAACAGAAGTGAGAACCAAGGCTCAGAAAAGTTAAGTAACCTGACAAAGCCACACAGCAAGTGAGGAAAGCCCAGCTCCGCACGTGGTCCCAGAGAGGGCCTGCGGGTGGCCTGTCCTGTGGGTGGCCTGTCCTGTGGGTGAGTGGGTCTCACATCATGGAGGGCACTGGAGGCCAGCGGGTGGGGACCCAGCTGGGACAGGAGAAAAGCCTGTGACACCCTGCCCTGGGATTCCTGAAACCTGAAGGTGGGGACCTGCCACGACCAGGAGGGTGAGACGCCCTCACTTTCTCCCTAGAGTGGCTGCTCCCCAGTAGGCCTGAGAAGGGATGCTGGTGGCAGCCTGTGGAGCTTCCGGAGCAGAGCCCTGCCCACCCAGTCCCCACTGCACCTGGAGAGGGGATCAGGGCCGTCCCTCCCCCGGCCATTAGAAGAGAGAGCTGGGAGGAGCTATGGCACCCCCACTCCGTCCTGGAAGGCAGCCCCTTCCCACCCCGCAACTGGCTCCCGCCAGCCCCATGCTCTGCTGCTTACCGGGCCAGCACCTGCTGCTGGTCCTCAATGGACAGCAGGTCGTCCTCCAGCACTGCCACCTCTATGCCCATGCTTTCCCTCCTCATGTTGGTCATGGCTGGCAGGGGCTGAGGCTGAGCCCCCAGGGCCACTGGGGCCTCAGCCTCTAACCCCACGCCAGGCTCTGCTGTTGGCATCACCTCCAAGGCCACTTCCGAGACCAGATCCACCTCCTGAATGTGAAGAGAAACCCAGGTGGAGGTGGGAAGGCCGCCCCCGAGATGGCTCCCAGGCGAATCTGTCTCAGAACACTGCCATTCCACCGGCTGCAGCCGGGACAGATCACCTCTGGCTTGGGGACATCAATGACACAAAAACACCCCCTATTGAGTTATTTTTGTTGTTTCTGAGGCACGGTCTCGCTCTGTCACCCAGGCTGGAGTGCTGTGGCATGGTCTCAGCTCACTCCAACCTCCGCCTCCCAGGTTCAAGTGATTCTCCTGCCTCAGCCTCCTGAGTAGCTGGGACTACAGGCGCCTGCCACCATGCCCTGCTAATTTTTGTATTTTTGGTAGAGTCAGGGTTTCACCATGTTAGCCAGGCTGGTCTTGAAATCCTGATCTGGTGATCCGCCTGCCTCGGCCTACCAAAGTGTTGGGATTACAGGTGTGAGTCACTGCACCCAGCCCCCTGTTGAGTTTCTTACTGCCGCCATTCCCACTGACTCCCCCAGGCTGGGACCTCCCACAATTCAGTCTCCACAGTCAGCTGGGGCCATCTTAAAATAGCAAGTGATGGCATCCCGTTCCCGGTGAGAGCCCTGCATGACTTCCTGTCACGTTAGCAGAAAAGTCCAGTTTTCCCCTACCAGCTCCCTGCCTCCACAGCCTCCCCCGCCACCCTGGCCTCCATTTCCATTGCTGAGAAAATCAAGATCCCTCCATCCACAGAACCTCGGCACTTGCTGTCTCCTCTGCTGGCTGCTTCCCCTGCCCCTCCTTCATGCCTGGGTCCCACTCAGATTCACTTCCAGCCCCGGCTGTCCTGGCCGCACCATCCGTGCCATGCCCTGCCGAGAGCCCCCCCAGGCCCCATGCACAGCCCACACTCAAGTCCAGATTCTCTTCTTCTTCTATAAACGTAGGGAGATTGAAAGCCTCCTCTCAATCCCCTGGAGTGTTCAAACTGGGCTCCCTGATGGTGTCTTAGGGGCCACCAGCCCTGACCTGCAGCCCTCATCCGTTGCACACACTGGGCCTCAATTCCTTTACACAAAGGCCAGCAAGGCTAAGGAAGCTTTGAAAGTCACCATGTAGAACAACAGGACTTTTTCACTCAATAAGAAGACGGTTCCTCCCACTGGACACTGCCTGGCCACAGGACATGGGCCACATGCCTGGGGAAGGCTGGGGTTGTTATTCTCAGATCATGGATGAGAAAACTGAGGCGCGGCAGGTAGGAGACAAGCTGGAGCTTCCTAGGAGGGTAAAGAGAACCCCGCCCGCCACACAGAGGGCCTGGCCCAGGGAGGTACTCACAGGCCTGGGCAGGAAGTCACCAGCCACCTCGGCTTCAGGCCTGGCATCCCCAGGCTCCAGCAGGTCTGTCGGCACGGGGTCCTGGGAGGAGAGAGGGGTCAGGGGAGGAAGAAGGCTGATTTGGGCCAGAATCATCCTCTACTCCCCCACCCTAGGCCTCACTTCAACTCCCCGAGGCCACCCACCACCCCTCAACCTCCCCTGCCTGTCACTCCGGAGAGAAAGGGCGTAAAGTGGGAAAGAGACGAGGGGGAGAACAGTGAAGAGATGAAACAGGGAGAGAGGCATGTGGGGGGCACCTGCTGTGTGCCAGGAGCCTTGCCTGCATCTGCTCATCTGAAGCATCCCCATTTTACAGATGAAAAAAACCGAGCACAGAAAAATCACACAACCAAGGAAGTGGTAGAGCTGGGACGTCTCTCTAAATAAACACACACAGACACAGACACAGACACACACAGAAACACACAGACACACACAGGCACACACAGAGAGACACAGGCACAGACACACAGACACACACAGGCACACGCAGACACAGACACACAGACACAGACACACACAGGCACACGCAGACACAGACACAAACACAGACACACACAGACACACACAGAAACACACAGACACACAGGCACACGCAGACACAGACACAAACACAGACACACACAGAAACACACAGACACACACAGGCACACGCAGACACACACAGACACAGACACACACAGGCACACACAGACAGATACACACACACATAGACACAGAGACACACAGACACACGCAGACACAGACACACACAGAAACACAGGCACACAGACACACAGGCACAGACACACACAGACACAGACACACACAGGCACACACAGATACACACACAAAGACACACACAGACACACACACAGACGCACAGATACACACACATGCGCATGCACGTGCACACACACACACGGGAAAGGAAAGCAGAGGACAGAGAGAAGAAAAGATGACTTTTTTTCTTTGAGACAGAGTCTCGCTGCTGTCGCCCAGGCTGGAGCAGAGTGGCATGATCTTGGCTCACTGCAACTTCTGCCTCCCAGGTTCAAGTGATTCTCCTGCCTCAGCCTCCTGAGTAGCCGGGACTACAGGCACCAGCTACCACACCTGACCAATTTTTGTATTTTTAGTAGAGAAAGGGTTTCACCATGTTGGCCAGGCCAGTCTTGAACTCCTGACCTCAGGTAATCCACCTACCTTGGCCTCCCAAATTGCTGGGATTACAGGCATGAGCCACCATGACTGGCCAAGAGGAACATTTTTTAAAAACAAAAAGACTGTTGAAAAGGGAGAAGATGTTGGTCAGCGAGGCAGGATGGAGGAAGGGCCGCGTCCCAGGGGCCTCATGGTCACTGAAAGGTGGCTGGATCCCCACAGATCCCCCCCACCCAGTCATTATGGAGCTCACGAGCCAGTGAGGGTTGCCCAAGGCTCCTGCAGACCTGGAAGCTCACTGTAACCATGGCAACTGGGCAAATGTCCTGTACAGCTGTCCCTCCGTCAGCAGAACAGGTGCCCACCTGGCATCACCTTGCATCTCAATCCCAACTTTCTTATTGAATTACAGAGCATGAGACAGAGCTTCTCCTCCCCAGACCCCTGGACCCCAGTGCCCCGAGCCAGCCACCAGTGCCAGAGCCACAGCAGACACAGTGGAACCACAGCCACTGTGCAGAGCAGCAGAGACCATGTGTGTGGACAGTGTGCTCCGGGCCCCCAGCAAGCTCTGGTTGCTCTGTGTTCACATCCATGCATGACATCAGCTACCTGCACGGGGACCTTGGGGATGTCTGCCTGGGGTGCATCTGTCCTGGCTGTGGTGGAGGAGAGTCTGGCCAGCTTGGCTTCCACCTTGGCAAACGGGTCCCACAGGCCTAGTAACCCCTGTAGAGGCTCCTCCTGCGGCTCCTCTTCCTGGAGGTAGTTCTGCTCCCCCAGGAGATGCCCAGCAGACTCCTGCCTGAGGCACTCATCCAGGAAGTATCTGCTGCCGGACTGCACAGTGGGCGTGCAGACCTCCACATTGGAGGGTTCCTCGGGCCCAAGGAAAGCCTCAGACACAGAGGTTTCTTCAAGCGTGGATGACTCGCTGGAGCCCAGAGAAATCTCAGACTTGGAGGGCTCCACCTTGCGCAGCTCCGCAAACCTGGAGGAAAGCTCAGTCTTGGAGAAATCGTCACTGGGCGGAGGGTCAGCTGTGGAGAAGACCTCGGGCTTTGCCACGATCTCATACTGAAAAGCAGGCGGGTACTCAGACCTGCTGGCAAACTCAGCCCTAGGCATGACCTCAGCCTTGGACATGACCTCAGCCTTGGACATGACCTCAGCCTTGTCGAGGACTCGCGCCTGCAGGACAGCCTCTGCAAAATGGAGAACTTCCTTCAGGCTTTTAAAGGGTCAGAGGGAGAGATCCTTCCCTAGGAGGTGGCCCCAAGCCCACTGTTTCTAAAAGACCAGCTTAAGAGTCAGAGCCTCCGAGGTGCCCCCAGAGGCTGGCTACAGCTTGCCTGCCTTCCCATTAGAACCCAAACCCTGCCTCCTTCCACCTCTTCCAGGAAGCCTTCCCTGACCAACACTGATTTCTCCAGTTTTTGACCTCCACAACTACTAAGCGCTGGGCTCTCACATCACACCCTGCCTTGGGACCACTCTTTACATACTGGCAGGCTTTGTGGGTCCTTGTTGCCTTCCAAGGCTGAGAGCTCCGCAGATTTCATGCCCAGGTGCCCTAGGGGCCCCCTCTGGAGCGCCCAGCACAGGGCTCTTGTCCACTGGATATGCTAGATCCATGGGAGCTAAATTAATGAATGCTGTGGATGAACGTCAGAGCTCCAGAAACCAGACCATCAGCTGGAGGCCTCATATTCAATCCAGACTAGAGGGAACACTCCGAAAAACAGAAAATTCCAGAATCTGCCTCCTCCTGTTCCCCTGGGTCTCCTACAGGAGTGGGTCTCCCTCCCAGCTGAGGCAGGGCTGCGTTCACATGGGCTCCTTACTGCTCCCGCTCAGGGGCTCCCGGCGCCTCTCTTACCTCCCACCCATTTCTTTATTGCTGTGTCCCAGGCCCCCCTAAGAGGGTCTTGATTTCCCCTTTGCTGAAATATAGCATCCACTCCCCAGCTAAATAGCCTGGATCTCTCTCAGCCTTGTTTTCCACATGGTTATGGGCAGATTCAGGGAGTCCTACCTCGCTGGACTGGGGAGAGGCTCAATGAGGGGGTGCAGGTAAAGCACCTACACAGTACCCAGCATGCAGTAACGCACGACAAGCGGTACTGACGGTGCAATCAGTATTGTCATCTTACAGGCCTGGATTCTACGCTGTCCATGAGTGCTAGGAAGTCTGGGCTTCTGGGCAGCATGGTGTCGAATGACACTGGTGTGAGAGAACATCCTAGGATGGCAAAAAGAAGACAAAAACTAAAGGCTGGGAGTGGTGGCTCACACCTGTCATCCCAGCACTTTGGGAGGCCGAGGCAGGTGGATCGCTTGAGCCCAGGAGTTCAAGACCAGCCTGGCCAACATGACAAAATCCCATCTCTACCGAAAACACAAAAAATTAGCTGGGTGTGGTAGTGGGCACCTGTAATCCCAGCTACTCAGGAGGCTGAGGCATGAGAATTGCTTAAACCTGGGAGGTGGAGGTTGCAGTGAGTTGAGATTGTGCCACTGCACTCCACCCTGGGCAACAGAGCAAGACTTCATCTCAGAAAAAAAAATTTTTTTTTTTTTTAAAAGAAGACAGCAGGACGCAGTGGCTCACACCTGTAATCCTAGCACTTTGAGAGGCCAAGGTGGGTGGATCACCTGAGGTCAGGAGTTCAAGACCAGCCTGGCCATGGTGAAACCCTATCTTTAAAAAAAAAAAAAGACAAAAACTTCCAGACAGGTAAAAAGTTGTTGCTAAGGATTAAATCCTTATTATGGGATGTGGTTGCTTTGGTAACAGAGAGGCTCAAAAGTAAGAGAGACTATGGAAAGCACAGAAATGTGGGATTCGCCTCCAAAGAAAGGGTGGCACTTCATTGCTTATAGTCTGGTTGAGCTGGGGCCCAGCCTGCGGATAACCCATCCCAGTGCAGTGTTGTGGGTTAGAACACTAGCTCTGGGGCCAGACTGCCTGGGTTCAGATCCTGGCTCTCCTTTAGCACCTGTGTGACCATGGGCAAGTTACTTATCCTCTCTGTGCCTCAGTTTCCTCATCTATATAATGAGCATAATTGTGGTACCTACCTTGCTGGACCCTTGTGAGGATGAAACATTTTCCTGGGGTGTGGAAAATGTTCTGTGACGTAGTTACTACAGTGAGGTAGAAAGAGGCCACCTTCCCTTGAGACAGCCCCGGGGACAAGGAGGACCCACCTGTCTCCTTCCGCAGGTTCTCCTCCAGCGTGGACAGCCTAACATCATATGAGTTGCGCATAGCAGTGATGTCTTCCTCCAGCCTGGCCCGAGACTCCTGCTCAGCCTTATAGTCAGCTTTCAGGCGGGCCAGGCGCTCTTCATACTCCTGGGAGAGGGAGGGGATGGGCCAGAGGGCGGGCAGCATTTTATCATCATTTTGAAACCCACCTTTCAGTATTGTTATTTTTTGTTATTCAAACAATACAGAACATGTAAGTAAGCCAAAAGAATCCAGTTGTACAACACTGTGATAATTACTTGCTGGTGAAGACTTTTCTAAACTGTTCTTGATGCTTTTTGGTTTGGTTTTGGTTTTGAGACAGGGTCTCACTCTGTCCCCCAGGCCGGAGTGCAATGGCATAATCATGGCTTATTCCAGCGTCAAACTCCCGGGCTCAAGCAATCCTCCTGCCTCAGCCTCCCAAATGGCTAGGACTATGGGCATGCCACCGTCATCTAATTTTTTAAAAAAACTTACAGGCTGGGCCCAGTGGCTCACACCTGTAATCACAGCACTTTGGGAAGCTGAGGCAGGTCACTTGAGGCCAGGAGTTTGAGACCAGCCTGGCCAACATGGTGAAACCCTGTCTCTACTAAAAATACAAAAATTAGCCAAGCATGGTGGCGCGCCTACAATCTCAGCTACTCGGGAGTCTGAGGCACGAAACCGCTTGAACCTGGGAGGTGGAGGTTGCAGTAAGCCGAGATCACTCAAGCCTGGGTGACAGAGTGAGACTCTGTCTCAAAAATAAAAATAAAATTAAAATTAAAAAATGAAAAATTTATAGAGTAGGGGGTCTCACTCTGTTGCCCGGCTTGGTCTCAAACTCCTGGCCTCAAGTGATCCTTCCACCTTGGCCTCCCAAAGTATTGGACTTACAGGCATGAGCCGCCATGCACAGCCTCTCAGTGTTTTGCTTTGTTTTTGAGACAGCGTTTCGCTCTTGTTGCCCAGGTTGGAGTGCAATGGCGCGATCTCAGCTCACTGCAACCTCCACCTCCCAGGTTCAAGAGATTCTCCTGCCTCAGCCTCCCAAGTAGCTGGGATTACAGGTGCCTGCCACCCCATGCCTGGCTAATTTTTTTTTTTTTTTTTTTTAGTAGAAATGGGGTTTCACCATGTTGGCCAGGCTGGTCTCGAACTCCTGACCTCAGGTGGTTTGCCAGCCTCAGCCTCCCAAAGTGCTAGGGTAACAGGTATGAGCCACCATGCCCGGCACTCTCAGTGCATCTTTAACAGGCCAGTAACATACACATTTGTTTGCAATCTATTTTATCCACACAACAATATATCATGAACACCCTTCCACATAGGCAAATACCTTTCTGCCCAATTGTCCTCAACCCACCAATGATGAAATATGTTTTTATTCCCCCACTCCTCTCCATCTTTGCTATCACTGCAGCTCTCATCCAAACAGCCACCTGTTCCTCATTTCCATTCTTACTCTGGCCCCAACCTCTCCCCAACACAGCCATGGTGTTCATACCCTGATTAGGATTTGACATGGTGTCCCATGTTCATGGATGAAATCTAAGCTCCTCAACTTGACCTGAGTCCCAAGTGATCTGGCCCTGCCTATCCCTTGACGGCTATGATGCACATTTGGGGCCTCCTAGCCACACCCAAGTCCTCCTGACCCCAAGGCCTTTGCCCTGCTCCCTGGCAAGCACCTTCCCAGCTTAGTGACCCCCTCAGAGAGCCCTTCCCTGACCACTCTTGGAAGCCCCTCTGCACTGCTCTCTGTTCCTTCCTCTATTGCTTATTTTCCTTTCTGAGACGGAGTCTCACTCTATCTCCCGGGCTAGAGTGCAGTGCTGCAACTTTGGCTCACTGCAATCTCTGCCTCCCAGGTTCAAGTGATTCTCCTGATTCTCCTGCCTCTGCCTTCCAAGCAGCCTAGTACACACACACACCACCACACCTAGCTGATTTTCATATTTTTGGTAGAGACAGGGTTTTGCCATGTCAGCCTTGAAAAGTGATGGGATTACAGGTGTGAGCCACCTTGCCTGGCCTCTATTTCTTCTTAACATGCTTTCTGAGCTTCTATTATGCTATTTAGTGTGTGTGTGTGTGTGTGTGTGTGTGTGTGTGTGTGTGTGAGAGAGAGAGAGAGAGAGAGAGAATTTGTTTTTGTTGGGGTGTAGGGTTGGAAAATGCCACCTTGCTTCTCCCCCAGGAAATGTTCATTCTGATCTTCCTGGGATGGTTTGTGAAACTTTTCCTTCTTGGAGTTGATCTTGCTGCCAGTGGCCTCTCCAGGCCCATTGCTGATGGTTTCTCCTTGCAAGACAATCTCTTTTCCTTGGCAATACTCCCGTTGCCTGCCCCTTGGGATCACTAACTGTTTCCTCCTTGAATGAAGATGTCTCCATCTTTTATGTTTTTATTGAGATGGAGTTTCACTCTTGTTGCCCAGGCTGGAGTGCAGTGGTGTGATCTCAGCTCACTGCAACCTCCACTTCCTGGCTTCAAGCGATTCTCCTGCCTTGGCCTCCCAAGTAGCTGGAATTACAGGTATGCGTCACCACACCTGGCTAATTTTTATATTTTTAGTAGAGATGGGGTTCACCACATTGGCCAGGCTGGTCTTGAACTCCTAACCTCAGGTGATTCGCCCACCTTGGCCTCCCAAAAGTGCTGGGATTACAGGCATGAGCCATTGCACCCAGCTTTTTTTTTTTCTTCTGTTGCCCAGGCTGGAGTGCAGTGGCACAGTCTCAGCTCACTGCAACCTCCACCCCCGGGGCTCAAGCAATTCTCTCACCTCAGCCTCCCGAGTAGCTGAGAACACAGGCACCCACCACCATGGTCAGCTAATTTTTTTGTATTTTTGGTAAAGATGGGGGTCTCACCATGTTGCCCAGGCTGGTCTGTAACTCCTGACCTCAAGCAATCTGCCCACCTTGGTCTCCCAAAGTTCTGGGATTACGGGCATGAGCCACCGCGCCCAGCCTCCATCTTGGGAAGACATGCTGCCACCTGCCTGCCCAGGATCGGCACTAGCCTGCTCCTCCTTGGGGAAGATTTCTCTTTCTTGGGTTTGGAGAGATGGGTCTCCCATTCCATTCTCCTGAGGCGCCTCCTGGGCTTTGGCTTTCACTTCTTTTGGGGGTTTTCAACATTTCACTACCCCAGGATGAGGACTCCTGGGGTACAGTCAAGGGCAGGACACACTTGCCCAGGGAAGGGGTGTGAACAGGTGCAAATGGGTGTGAACAGGTGTGATTGGGTGTGAATAATGTGTGAACTGGTGTGAACTGTATGAACAGGTATCAATGGTGTGTGAATGGGAGGGAGAGTGAGCTCTCTCAGCAGCACCCTCCTTCCTCATAGCCCTCCACAGCTGCCGCCTTCTGACACCAGGGCAAGGGCCACCAGTAGCTTCTTTTCCTTCTTTAGGTCTGCCTGTCTCTCCAGCTTCCTAGTAATCTCAGGAGCTGCTTCTTCTGCCTGAACCATTGCTTCCTTCATGATAGTCTCTATTTATTTGATTATAGTTTATTGTTGACCTCCCTCCGCTAGCAGAAGGCACCCTCCAGAGAACAAGAACCTTTTTTTTTTTTTAGATGGAGTCTCACTCTGTTGCTCAGGCTGGAGTGCAGTGGCATGATCTCAGCTCACTGCAACCTCTGCCTCCTGGGTTCAAGTGATTCTTCCACCTCAGCCTCCTGAGTAGCTGGGAGTACAGGTGTGCACCACCACACCCAGCTAATTTTTTATGTTTTTGGTAGAGTTGGGGTTTCACCATCTTGGCCAGGCTGAAAGGACCATCCTGTCTTGTAGCCTCAGACCTCACCAGAGGAGGGATTGGATGAACACCTGCGGAATCAGTAAATGCAAGAGCAGAACTGCAGGTTCACGGGCATGCAGCACATTCAGGCACCTGACACACATGGCCCGAAAGAAGGGCAAGGCACCATGAATTAAAGATCATCTGGGACCCTTTGCCTTCTGGAGTCACTGCTGATAGAGGTGCCTGCTACTGTAGTAAGCCAGAGAGACAGGACAAGGACAGGGATGGGGTGGGCAAGCACCATGGCACACTCCCACCCCTCCAGATCCCTTTGGCAAATACAAAGTGGCATAGACAGCACTGATTTCGGCTCCTAGGGAGGGAGACAAGGAGATGGGGAGTAATTCCGCTGTAACCATGCATTCTTCCATACATGTTTAGATACACTTGAACCTCAAAACAACGCCTGCAGTGTTACTGAGGCCCAAGGACACTCCATGACCAGGCAGCTCCTCAGACCCTGCAGCCCTCTCCTCCACTGCTCCTGCTCTTGCTGCCCTCCTCACCCAGCTGGCATCAGGACCTGTGACTCCAGTCAGCAAGCATCCCTGACTTCCTTACCCAGCCCCTGTATTGCTTTCTCCCAGCCCAGCTCTGACCCTGGTTAAACCCAGGCCTCACCCTAGCAATACATGGATGGAAACACACATATATGCACACACACACTTATGTACACATACACACAAGCGCACACCTGCACACATGCATGCACACACACATGTACACACATGTACACACCTGCACACATGTACACTTATGTACACATACACACAAGCACGCACAGGCACACATAGGCATGCACACATGCAGACACACATGCATATGTACACACGTACACAATGCATACACATGCACATGCACATATGCACACACAAATTATTTTATTTATTTATTTGGGTCAGAGTTTTGCTCTGTCACCCAGGCTGGAGTGCAGTGGCATGATCACAGCTCACGTAACCTCTGCCTCTTGGGTTCAAGTGATTCTCCTGCCTCAGCCACCCAAGTAGCTGAGATCACAGGCACGTGACACCATGCCCAGCTAATTTTTGTATTTTTAGTAGAGACAGGGTTTTACCACGTTGGCCAGGTGGGTCCTCTTATATGAGGCTGGTCTTGAACTCCTGACCTCAAGTGATCCACCCGCCTCGGCCTCGCAAAGTGCTGGGATTACAGGCCTGAGCCACCACGCCCAGCCCCATTCTCACTTTTAAACATGGGCCCTGAATCTCAGGCAGGTGGGCTTCTACATGGCTGAGCCCATAGCCCCGGTCCTACCTTTTAGCTCCATCTTCCCAACCCTCCACTCCCCCCACATTCCCTGCCTGTAAATCACAGAGACAGGGAGGCACAGGACTCCCTCACCTTCCCGTCCACGTGCGGATCTACCGGGAAGCTCCACCTCCTCGGAACCCAAGCACCCAGCCCCAGGACCTTGTGCCTGCAGTCCGCCCCCTCCTTCCTAGACCTCGACTTCTCCCTCTGCTGGATCACTCCTAACAGTCTACAAGACATGCCCTCTCACTTCCAATATTTAAAACATGAAAACCCTTTCTTGGCCCCACATGCCCCTCCAGCTAGCGTGTCCAGCACCCAGCACACACACAATATGCCTGTTAAGGACTGAACGGCGGAGCTGACCCCCAGTCCTACTTGGTACATGACACACAGCCCACCAAGGAGAAGATGCCCCTTCGTTTCATCCTCTTACATCCTCAGAAAGCAGCAGGAAAGCCGCTAGCAGATGAGACAGAGGCTCAGAGAGCTCAACAACCTGCCCAAGGCCACAGAGCCCATAAGGATGGACTCACAGAAAGTGAAAGCTGGGCGGACCCTAGGAATCTTCTAGTCCAAAACTCTGGCTCAGACTGGGGACTGGACCCAAGCCCATGCCTTCTTCCCTACAAAGACAGGCCTCCTCCCTTTTCCTGAATGAAAGGGAAACACGGTTCCAGGCGCATAGTAGGTGCTCAATAAATATGAGAGTTGTGAAAAAGAGCACATGGAAGGGAGGAGGGAAGCAGGGATAGCAGAGGGGCGGGAGGCACAGACATCTTCAACCCTTCCTCCAAGCATGGCTCACAGAAGACACCTCAGGGTTTCTTGGAATCCTGGTGCCAGTAGCATCAGGCAGTAGCACTCTGACGCAGTGGCCACTGGACCACCCCATGAGGTGGAGGAGGCAGGTGACCCCTTCCCCAGGGCAGAAAGCACTCCCATCAGTGGCACCTCTGTGGGCCTGCCAGGAATAGCGTCGCTTCTCCCTAGTGACCACCAGGGGGCGGCAGTGCCCTACTTACTGGACAGCGGGGACCGCTGGCCCCACCGGGTTCTGGGAAAGGAAGCCTCCGTCCTGCGCAGCCCGCCCCACCCCTGCATCTGTGACCAAAGGTCCCCGGGCTGCTGTGTGACTCCATGCCCACTCCGAACTCCAGCAGGCTCACTTCTCTGGTTTCTGTGGGCTTGCCTGCGTTCAGCCAGGGTAGGCAGTGCCCGCCAAGGAGCTCCCAGAGCCTGCAGGGGCGGGCGGCATCCACTGGGGGCACCAAGGAGCCTCTCCCAAAACAGCACAGGTCCCACCCGTCACATTCAGCCCCGCCCCCCCCCCCCCCCCCCCCCACACACACACACCGAGGCTCTAAGGTGAATTTTTCCCAGGCCTCCAGGCCGCAGAACTGAGTCCCTCCAGTTCTTCCCGTCTGCCCCAGAGGCTGGGCCCCAGGTCCCCAAAGGGTCCCCAACAGGGGCTTCCGGTGCCTGAGGGTGCACCCCAATGGGAGGTTGTAGTTGAGTGGCCGGGGTCCAGCTGTGAACACATCCAGGCCCAGTCCCTGGAGAGCTCGTTCTACCTGGCATTAGGTTCCACATCAGGAAAAGCCCTAGCCTTTCTAATGGGACTATCAGGCCCGGCGCGATGACGGTTCACACCTGTAATTCCAACACTTTGGGAAGCTGAGGTGGGAGGATCGCTTGAGCCCAGGAGTTCAAGACCAGCCTGGGCAATGTAGACAGACCCCATCTCTACAAAAAAAATTTTAAATTAGCCAAGCGTAATGACACGCACCCGTGGTCCCAGCTACTTGGGAAGCCGAGGTCGGAGGAGCACCTGAGCCAGGGAGTTTGAGGCTGTAGTGAGCTGAGATTGTACCATTGCACTCCAGCCTGGGCGACAAGATGCTGTCTCAAAAATAAATAAATAGGGTTGGGCGCGGTGGCTCATGCCGGTAGCCCAGCACTTTGGGAGGCCGAGGCAGGTGATCACAAGGTTGAGACCAAGACGATTCTGGCCAACATGGTGAAACTCCGTCTCTATTAAAATAACAAAAATTAGCTGAGAGTGGTGGCACGCGCCTGTAGTCCCAGCCACTAGGGATGCTGAGGCCAGAATCACTTGAACCCAGAAGGCAGAGGCTGCAGTGAGCCTAGATGGTGCCACTGCACTCCAGCCTGGGCGACAGACCAAGACTCCGTCTCATAAATAAATAAATGAATAAAAAAAGAGACTGCCACATGTCAAACAGCACTGCATGCTCAGGTCTTAGGATGCAGCATTTAGGTGGGAATCTCTGGAAGCCAACAGAGCAGGGAGTCAGGGATGGAGCCAAAAGCAGGAGTTGGGAGGCCCTCCCATGCCTGGCAATGGAAATCCAGCTCTGGGGATCCACTCTGCCTCTGGAAATCAGGGGCATCACCTGACCCGCTGCTTCCAAGGAATGTCGGGAGGCACCCCTATGAGAGGAGCCAGGTGCCCCTGGTGGCAGCCTTTTCCGGGAGGCCAATACCACACACCTGTTGGTCACACAGGCTGCCTGGCTCAGACCCCGGTTGTTGGTGGCTGCTGGGGGACAGACTCCTCCCCACCTGACTGCCTCGCCTCTGCACAGGCCATTCCACAGCCGCCCACCCTTCAAAACCAAGGGGAGACCACACCCCAGAGATGCCCCCGCACCCCTCTATTATCACCACGCAGGCCCTGAGGCGGCACTGCCTGCAGTCTGGAGTCAGGAAGCTAAGTTCAAATCCTGCCTCAGACTCTTTGCCGTGTGACCTTGGGCAAGTCCTGGCATCTCCTTGAGCCTCCGCTTTCTTAGGATCAACCCCAGGGTGAAGGTGTGGTGATATCACACTGGAGCTGCGCCCTCCTTGGACCCCAGGGGAAGCCCTGCCCTTCCTGCTGGCCCCACCTGCCTGCCCCTTCTCCGTGTTCCCACCCACGTGGGTCTCACCTCCCGGATCAGCTGCTTCTCAGCCTCCATGTCATACTGGATCACAGGCGGGGGCAACAGCTTCTCCTCCGCCTGCACAGGGTCTGGGGGTGTCTGACTAGACAGCAGGGCTAGGGGAGACACAGAAATTAGCAGCCAGAATGAGAAATTAGCACATGATATGCAGGAAGTAAGCAGTAATCTGTAAAAAGATGACCTCATGGTAGGCCAGGCACAGGGGCTCACGCCTGTAATTCCAGCACTTTGGGAGGCCAAGGCAGGCAGATCACAAGGTCAGGAGATCGAGACCATCCTGGCCAAGATGGTGAAACCCTGTATCTACTAAAATACAAAAAAAAAAAAAAAAAAAAAAGAAATTAGCCAGGCATGGTGGCCTGCACCTGTAGTCCGAGCTACTCAGGAGACTGAGGCAGGGGAATCACTTGAACCCGGGAGGCAGAGATTGCAGTGAGCCAAGATCATGCCACTGCACTCTAAGCCTGGCGACAGAACAAGATTCTGTCTCAAAAAAAAAAAAGCAAAAAACAAAAAACAAACCTCAGGGTCATTCAAAAAGACTTTAAAGTGTTGAGCTTATTTCAAACACATCTCCATGTAAAAGGCTAAGTTAGTCATCTGACAAATATTTGTGGAGTGCCTTCATGTTCTACACGCTGAGGATGCAGCACTGAACAGACAAAACTCCACACCCACGCTGAGTTTTCCACTGGGAGGAAGAGGAGGAAGGCAGACAGCCAAGGTGAAATGCCTCGTTGTGGAGTTCAAGGCCCTCTCCACTCCAGCCCTGCCTGACCATCTCCCCTCAAGATAAGCAAGCAAAATGGGTAACACATTATAAGATAATGTGTACCGAGAAGAAAAAGCAAGCAGGGAGGGTGCCTGGGAGTTAGCAGCAGTGAATTATTTATTTATTGAGACCAGGTCTTGCTCTGCCACCCAAGCTGGAGTGCAGTGGTAGGATTATAACTCACTGAAGCCTTGAACTCCTGGGCTCAAATGATCCTCCCACCTGAGCCTCCTGAGTAGCTGGGACTACAGGCACACACCACCATGCCCAGCTAATCTTATTTTATTTTTTTTGTAGAGACGGGGTCTCATCATGTTGTCCAGGCTGGTCTCAAACTCCTGGGCTCAAGCCATCCTCTCGCCTCAGCCTCCCAAAGTGCTGGAATTACAGGTGTGAGCTACCTTGGCCAGCCCAAGTTGCCACTTAAACAGTGTGTTAGGCTGGGTGCAGTGTCTCTTGTCTGTAATCCCAGCACTTTGGGAGGCCGAGGCAGGCAGATCACTTGAGGTCAGGAGTTCAAGACCAGCCTGGCCAACATAGGAAAACCCTGTCTCTACCAAAAAAATACAAAAATTAGCCAGGCTTGGTGGCAGGAGCCTGTAATCCCAGCTACTAGGGAGGCCGAGGCAGGAGAATTGCTTGAACTGGATAGGTGGAGGTTGCAGTGAGCCGAGATCACGCCACTGCACTCCAGCCTGGGCTAGAGAGCGAGACTCCGTCTCAAAAATCAATAAACCAATAGCTTATTTATTGAAGACCTTTTAGTCAAGGCATGAAGGAAGCAGCGAGGAGAGGGCGGGCACAGGAGGGGCTTGCTGGACAGGGCCATGGTGAGTGCGAAGGCCTGAAGCGGTCATGGGCCTGCACTGTTCTGGCCCAGCCAGGAGGCCAGTGTGGCTGGAGGGGAGGGAGTGATGGGCAGGACAGAGGAAGAGGTCCTCGAGGGGTGAGGCCAGATCCTGAGGGCTTTGGCTGTGACTCCAGGTTGAAAAGGGCAGGTGTGTGTAGGGCAGTCACAGGCCCTGCATCTGAACAGGCTCTCCCTGGCTGCTGTGTGGAGAGTACAGAGGGGAACCGGGGCAGGTGCTGGAGACCTGTTGGTGGTGGGGGGCGCGGGGGGTGCAGAAACTCGGGCTGGAGGGCAGCAGTGAACAGGCTGTAGCCAGTTTTTTGTTTTTTGGGGGCTTTTTGAGACAGAGTTTTGCTCTTGTTGCCCAGGCTGGAGTACAGCGGCACGATCTCGGATCACCACAATCTCCCTCTCCTGAGTTCAAGCGATTATCCTGCCTCAGCCTCCTGAGTAGCTGGGATTACAGGGGTGAGCTGGGATTACAGGTGAGTAACACTCTGGCTAATTTTTTTCTATTTTAGTAGAGACGGGGTTTCACAATGTTGCCCAGGCTGGTCTCGAACTCCCGACCTCAAGTGATCTGCCCACCTCGGCCTCCCAAAGCGCTGGGATTACAGGCATGAGCCACCACGCCTGGCCAGGCTGTAGCCAGTTTTGAAGGTGGAGACAGCAGGATCTGCTGACCGACTGGACGTGGATTTGAGAGAAAGCGAGAAGCCAGGGGTGACCCCAAGGTGCCTGGTTTGAACACCTGAGGTCAGCTGGAGTGGGGAACTGCAAGCCTAGCAGATCTGGGGCCCGTCGAGTTGAAAGTGGGGCGTGTTGGGTTTGAAATGCTTATTACACGGCTGCATATTTAAGTCTGGAATTCAGAGGACACGGTATAGTACGTCTGAATTCTTTTCTATACTGCATCAAGTTTTACTATCTTGAGGGACTTGCTGGGCATTGGACTGCACTTCAGAGCTAATTCCTAGAGGCCGTAAACCACAGTCAGTGAGTCCATCTTTGATATACAAACCAATGAAGCCCAAGTCCACCCCCCAAGCCACCTGCTGTATGTAACTCTCACACCAAGCCAAGATTCCCCTTGCCCTGAACAGAGCCAGGGCCAGGCACCAGACAACCAGGATTGGGCCCTCAGCCCCAAAGTCCACCAGAATTATTCCAACCAGCTGGTCCCAACCTGCCTCCCAGGCCCTGCCATGCCTTTCCCACAGGAATTCCAATAAAGGCTGTGCCCTGGGCCCCCTGCTCTTCTCCTCCAGACCGATGCTGGTGCTTCCCCAGGGCCCTGTGGGGCATGCCCACCCTTGGGTCTCCAGGAGCACTGTGAGCCCGGGTGAACTTTCCTTTCAGTAGCTCTGACCTCTCTGTGCTGTCACTCAGTCACCTTTATAAATTAGGACACGAACATAAATTGCATGGCCAAGCTGTGGGGCACACATATCAGGAATGCAGAGGTGGTGGTAACACAAGGGACCCAGGTGAAGCCACCTTAGCAGCAAGTACAGAGAAAGGACAGCAGAGGACCAGCCTGGGGACAGCCCAGGGTTAGGAGGCTGGAGAGCAGGGAGGACTCACCCCCGGGAGCTGAGGAGAGGCAGCTGGGGAGGCAGGAGGGGACCCAGGGCAGAGGGCATCTGGGGAGCCAGGGCAGAGTGCCTCTAGGAAGCAAGGGTCTCATGAAGGGAGGGGGTCTGGTCTGCTGAGCCAGTTAGTGCTGAGATGGCAAGGCAAGACCTGCCCCAGGACAGTCACTGGGCTCCACAACAGGACACCACTGGTGACAAGGATAGCTTCAGTGGACCGGGACAGGGCCTGTCTGGGTAGGGGCAAGAGAGAGCGGAAGAGGAGAAACTGGGACCCGTAAAAGTAGACAGATGTTTCAAGTTTTGTTGAAAGGGAAAGAGGCATATGCCAGAGGGAGAAGCAGGGCGAAGCGGGGAATGTCTAACAGTGAGTCCTGGGCGGGGCACACAGGAGCTTTGGGTCAGGCATGCCTGGTCTCAAGGCGCAGCTGAAGTGAAGGCAGCATGCATTGTCTCTGGAGCCCACCATGCCAGGCCTGTGCTACCACACGTGTGGGATCTCAGGCAATTTTCCCAGAGGCATCACAGAACACACAAGGCAGGTTTCGCTATGATGCCCCCTTTACAGTTGAAGAAACTGAGGTTCTTAGGAGCTGAGTTGCTTGTCAAAGGAGCTGGGAGGTGAGCTGGCGATAACTGCCAGCTCTCAGCTACCACCCAGCACCACCTCAGTCACTCTGCTGGCTGGGCTCCTTGCTCCTCATCCAGGGACAGGGGTGCTAGCAGCCTCTACCCTGGGGGCTGCCTCCGTCACCACTAGAAGGCTGCACAGATGTCAGCTGCTGGGTGTGGGGGCAGAGCCTCCCCAACTCCCTCCTGGTACACTCACCATTCTTGTCTTCCCCCAATCTTGAGGGTGAGGAGGGTTGGGGTGAGGAGTAGGGAAAGAGGAGGAAGGCAGATGGTTGAGGTGGAATGCCTTGTCATGGTGTTCAAGGCCCTCTCCACTCCAGCCCTGCCTGACCACCTCCCATCACCCCTACGCCCGAGGCAGCCAGCAGGGGGCTCTGTAGTTCCCCAAATGCACCTTAGAGTTTTGCGCATCTCTGCACACACTGGACACTCTCATCCTAACAGGGAAATTTCTCCTCTTCCAAGATTCTGCTCAATTACTGCTTCCTCTGGGGAGCCTTCCTTGACTGACTACATCCCACCCACAGATAGATCTGGCTGACCATGCAGATCCTTTCTGCCCTGTACAACTGTCTGGCGTAGAGTGGGTCTCGCTGCATGTGATGGTCTACTAGAGTCTCCTTTTCCCTCAGGAGATTAGGTACCCCACGAGGCACAGCCTGCATCTGATTCATCTCTGTTTATCCAGTACCCAGCACAGCTCCACACACAGAGGAGGAGCTCACGGAACCTTGAATCAATGGATGGGTAGGTGAGTGGAAAAATAGATAAAAGAATGGATGATAGATAAAAGAATAGTATAGAGTGAATGAATGGGTGGGTATGTGGATGGTAGGGTGGATAGGGTGAGTGATTAGAATGCGTGAATGGACAGGTAGATTAAATGAATGGAAGATGGGTAGGTGAGTAGACAGAAGGATGGATATAGATGGATGGATGGATGGATAGATGAATAGACAGATGGAAGGATGGAAGGAAGACAGGAAGAAAGGATCTATAGATGAGTAGATGGGTGGATAGAAGGAAGATCGATGAATGGATGGATACATGGACAAATGGGAGGAAGGAAGGGTCAGTGGATGATGGATGCATGGATGGATGACAGATGAATGGATGGAAGAAAGGAAGGATCAATGAATGGATTGATGGATGAATGGATGGATGGATAGGTGGCTGCATAGATAGATGGCTGGAAGGAAGAAAGAAATGGATTGATTGATGAAATGGAAAGAGGGATGGGTAGATGAAAGGATAGAAGGAAGAATCAATGGATGGATGGATGGATGGGTGGGTAAGTGGGTGGGATGGATGGATGGATGAATAGGTGGGTGGGAGGATGGATGGATGGATGGATGGATGAGTACATGAATGGATGTGGGTGGATGGGTGGGTAGATGGATGGGTGAGTGGGTGGGTGGATGGGCAAGTATGCAGATGGATAAATAATGGGGTAGGTGGGTAGGTGGATGAAAAGGTAGGTGGATGGATGGGTAAATGGAAGGATGGGCAGATGGGTGGATGAAGGGGTAGGTGAATGGGTGTGTGTATAGAATGGATAGATGGAGAGGAAGGTGGGTGGGAGGGGGATGAATGAACAGATAAGCCCAGGATTTTTCGTGTTCCCTTCCCCAAGAGCTTCTGAGATAAGAAAATCTTAAGAGTCCTTCAGTTCCAAAGCCCCTTCAGGCAATACTGCAGGTGTGGGTTTCCACCTGCCAGGTGACAGCCAAATGCCGAGGTGCAAAAGCTGCAGTAACACAGTACCTGCGAGGAGCAGATGCAGCTGTGGGGACTGAGTCACCACACACAGCAGCAGACAGGGGCATGGTGGGGGGTGTGCTGGGTGTGTGGTGGGAGGTGTGGTGGGAGGTGTGGTGGGGGTGTGGTGGGGGCGTGGTGGGAGGTGTAGTGGGGGTGTGATAGGGGTGTGGTTGGCGTGGTGGGCGTGGTGGGGGTGTGGTGGGAGTTGTGGTGGGGATGTGGTGGGGATGTGGTGGGGGGGTATGGTAGGGGTGTGGTGGGGGCGTGGTGGGGGTGTGTGGTAGGGGTGGAGGGGATGATGGATGAGCAGATCAGAGGCAGGAGTGGACGACAGCCTGCAGCAGACGGGACAGGCCAGACAAGTGCCCTCCTGCTAGGGCACTGACAAGCACATGCTGTCTGGATGGCCACCACCCAGGGCCCTGCACTCACACTGGGCTGAGGGCCAGGAGGACGCTCCCACCGTCTTTCAGATGGGAAGTCAGAGGCAAGAAGACAGAGGGGAGGAAGTTTTCTCCTGGGGACCCGGCCCTCTCGCCACTCCCCCCACGTGGTCCCACCTGATAGGCAGCTGGGACTCATCTGCTGCGTCAGGATGGCCTTGAGCTTCTTGATCTCCTCCTGGTACTCGCGAAGCAGTGCATCCTTGGGGTCCTCGTTGATGCGCGGCTTGTTCCTGATGTTCTTGGCCCGGTTGGCGTAGCGCAGTGTGCTGAGTGTCTCATCATAGTTGTTGTCCGCAGGAGACAGGCAGGCCACCATCAGCGTCTTGGTGTTGCCACCCAGTGAGTCCTGCAGCAGCCGTGTCAGCTTTGAGTCCCGGTAGGGGATGTGCTTACAGCGCCCGTCCACCAGCGCCGAGATGACGTTGCCCAGTGCCGACAGTGACAGGTTGATCTTGGTGGCCTCCTTGAGCCGCTCGCCCGTGGCCCCAGTCTTGGACTGCCGCTCACTGCCCGCCAGGTCCACAAGGTTCAGTTTGCCCGCCCGGAGGTGGTCCTTGCCCCATTCATCTGCAGACAGACCGAGCAGAGGGATGAGGGCCTTGGTGAGTCCCATGTATCCATGGCCATCAGCATCAGGCACGGGGTGCTCACCGCCACCCACCGAGGGTTTTCCCTCAGCTGCAAGGGAGCCCCAGGAAGCGGGTGCTATTGTTTTATTATTTTTTGAGACAGAGTCTTGCTCTGTCACCCAGGCTGGAGTGCGATGGCGCAATCTCCTGCCTCAGCCTCCCCAGTAGCTGGGATTACAGGCACCTGCCAGTACGCCCGGCTAATGTTTGTATTTTTAGTAAAGACCAGTTTCACCATATTACTCAGGCTGGTCTTGAACTCCTGACTTCAGGATTTCCGCCCACCTTAGCCTCCCTAAGTGCTGAGATTACAGGTGTGAGCCACTGCGCCCAGCCTGCAAGTGCTATCATTGTGCTCATCTTACAGATGGGTAGACTGAGGCTCAGAGAGGGCATAGAACTTGCCCAAGGTCACACAGCTGCTAAGAGCTGTAGCCACCATCAGAACCCAGGGCAGGCTGCGTCCAGGAGCAGGGGCTGGAGCTGCAGACCATTCTGAGTGCGACAGGGCTCCTTCTGGCTGCCACAGCTGCTCTCAAAGGCTTCCTGCAAGGTCAAAGGTGGAGAAGGCGGGGTGCGGCTGGCTCACCAGGGAGTTATGTCCTTCAACGCAGAAAACATCTGCCTTGGAGACTCCCTGGCCCGGTTCCCAACCCAGTCCTGTCTTCTCCCTGCTGTGTGGCACTAGCAGGGCCACCTACCTCCCAGAGTCTCAATTCCCCACATCAACAAAATCCGACTAACAATGGCTCCCCATTAGAGTCTGTTGTGCGACAAAGCGGCAGATGTGAGAAGCCACGTTAGCTCTTTTCCACTTGCCAGCAACGTCAGCACACAAAGCCGCTGCCTCTGTGCTGACATGCAGGGCTGTGCAGAGCTCCACAGAGATGCTTTGAAGACAAAACAGGATGGAGCTGACGGTCCCCCCACCCGTCTCTCGCCTGAGTCACTGCATTGCTGAAAGACAGATCGAGGCCTTGCCTTTTCCTACACATGAGCTAATGTCAGCTGGGGCTGGTGAGGAAGCCTCTGAGTCTATCACTGGACATGCTCTTGCACAAAACCTGATGTGACTCTTCTGTGTAACTTCTGAGCATGTCAGGTGTGATTCTGCAGGTGCTGACTCTTCACCACCTATGTATAAACTGTGAACTGAAATACGGACAGAACCGCTCCCGGGTGTAGACCTCAGTCTACGATCCTCAGTAGAACTTCTCTTTTTCTCCTTTGAGACAGGGTCTCAGTCTGTCACCCAGGCTGGAGTGCAGTGGTGCGAAACTAGCTCACTAGAGCCTCGAACTCCCAGGCTCAAGCAATCCTCCCACTTCAGTCTCTGAGTAGCTGGGAACGCAGGCATACATCACCATGCCCAGCTAATATTTTTCTTTTTAGAGATGGGGTGGCCCTATGTTGCCCAGGCTGATCTCGAACTCCTGGCCTCAAGTGATCCTCCCGCCTTGGCCTCCCAAAGTGCTGGGATTACAGGCCTGAGCCACTGTACCCAGCCCAGTTGATTTTTCTTTAGTTGACAGGTGTGCCTGTGGTCCCAACTACTCAGGAAGCTGAGGCAGGAGGGATACTTGAGCCAGAAGTTCTATGATTGCACCACTGCAGTCCAGCCTAGGTGGCAGAGTGAGACCCTGTCTCTAAGAAAAGGACTGGAAGGAACTTGGAGTCACCCCTTTGGGAAGCTCTGTGCAGCACAGACCAGGAGCCGTAACCGCATTTGTCATCTTTGCTCTAGGACCCATTCCAGGGAACTGAGTCTGAAGAGATGAGTCTCAGACAAGAAGAAGGTCTGTGTACACGGATGTCCATCATGGCATGACTTCCAGCACTGGGAAACTGGGAACCACTGGTTGTGGACTGGTTGGAAAAGGGCAGGATCCAAGCCACTACACATGGTCATGAATACACGGTGACAGTAACACGGAGATGCTCAGTGATGGCAAGAGACATGAAACTGGGGTAACCCTACATGGCATAAGATTTCAGTTGTGCTTGAAACTTTTGGAGGAAAAAAAGGATCAAAAGAAAATAAGGGCTGGGTACAGGGGTTAACGCCTGTAATCCCAGCACTTTGGAAGGCTGAGGTGGATTGCTTGAGTCCAGGAGTTCGAGACCAGCCTGGGCAACATGGCAAAGCCCTGTCTTTACAAAACATACAAATTACCTGGGTGTGGTGGTGTGTGACTGTAGTTCCAAGCTATTCGGGAGGCTGAGGTGAAAGGGTTGGTTGAGCCTGGGAGACCGAGGTTGCAGTGATCTGAGATTGTACCACTGCACTCCAGGCTGGGCAACAGAGCAAGGCAGTGCCTTAAAAATAAATAAATACAAATTATTTATATGTGCACTCACATTGGTTTGTTTTTAAAAAAAAAAAAAAAAAGCCCAGGCGCAATGGCTGACACTTGTAATCCCAGCACTTTGGGAGGCCGAGGCAGATGGATCACTTGAAGCCAGGAGTTTGAGACCAGCCTGGCCAACATTTTTAGCAGACACCAAACCCCGTCTCTACTAAAAATACAAAAATTAGCTTAGTGTGGTGGCGCATGTCTGTGATCCCAGCTGCTCACAAGGCTAAGGAAGGAGAATCACTTGAACCTGGGAGGCAGAGGTTGTAATCAGCCGAGATTGCGCCACTGCACTCCAGCCTGGGCAACAGAGCTGTCTCAAAAAAACAAAACAAAACAAAACAATGTGTGTACGTATGTAATATAAAAAACCATATTATAAATATGAATAATTATTATATAAATATAATGCTTAAATGTGTTTAGATGTCAGAACTATGAGTAACTGTTCCCTACCATTCTCTACTTTTTTTTTTTTTTTTGAGACGGAGTTTCGCTCTTGTTACCCAGGCTGGAGTGCAATGGCGCGGTCTCGGCTCACCACAACCTCCACCTCCTGGGTTCAGGCAAGTCTCCTGCCTCAGCCTCCTGAGTAGCTGGGATTACAGGCACATGCCACCATGCCCAGCTAATTTTTTGTATTTTTAGTAGAGACGGGGTTTCACCATGTTGACCAGGATGGTCTTGATCTCTTGATCTCGTGATCCACCCTCCTCGGCCTCCCAAAGTGCTGGGATTACAGGCGTGAGCCACCGCACCCGCCCCCCATTCTCTACTTTCTTACCATCGTCATTGAGCTTGCATTCTTCTTCTTATTATTATTATTATTTTGAGATGGAGTCTCACTCTGCAGCCCAGGCTGGAGTGTAGTGGCACGATCTTGGCTCACTGCCACCTGCACCTCATGGGTCCCAGTTCAAGCAATTCTCCTACCTCAGCTTCCCATGTAGCTGGAATTACAGGCACGAGCCACCATGCCCAGCTAATTTTTGTATTTTTTAGTAGAGATGGGGTTTCACCATGTTGGCCAGTCTGGTCTTAAACTCCTGACTTTGTGATCTGCCGGCCTCGGCCTCCCAAAGTGCTGGGATTATAGGTGTGAGCCACTGCACCCGGCTGAGCTTGCATTATTTTATAAAGTGAATGTGTAGCCAGCCTGCCTCATCCTTCAAACCCTCTTGCAAAGACCAAGAGGTGCCCCCCAAACCCACTCCCTCCTCCTCCCTCCTGATCAGTCCTCAGTTGCCCTGGTCTCTGCCCCTCCCCAAGCTGCAGCACTGAGGCTGTGGCCACACTGTCCCACCCCTCCCCTATCAGTACCCCCAGGACACTCAAACTGATGGCCTCATACCCAAGCAAGCATTAGGGCTTGGCCCAAAGCCAGGTCACCACACCAGCTGGGCAGTGTGTCCAAGAGGTTCCATCTACCCAGGCCTTGACCCTGGGTGGTGCAGTGGTGTGATCTCAGATCACTGCAACCTCTGTCTCCCGGGCTCAAACAATCCTCTCACCTTAGCCTCCCGACTAGCTGGGACTACAGGCATGCACCATCACACCCAGCTAATTCCTGACCCTGATCCCTGGGTCAGGGATCTCTCCGGAATTCTATTGCCAGTTGGGCTGAGGCCACCTCCTGCTCCACTGCTCTCTGGAGTTCTAGTCATGATGGACCACAACTTGGAGGCAGCTGCAGTATTCATGGGAAAACCCAGATATCAGGGAGACCCGGGTTCAAATCCCAGCTCCACCAATTAGCGGTGGTGAGACCTCCAACAAGCAATCACTTTGCCTCTCAGAGCCTCTGTTTCCTCATCTATAAAATGAGGATTCTGGTGCCTGTCTCTAAGACTGTCATGGGATTTAAATGGAATGAAGGGTATAAAAGGTTTGATACTGCAGATGGCCAACAGGGGCCCCAAAATAAACATGGGTTTCTTTCCTTCCTCTTCTCTTTCTCAGCAGCTCTTCCAGAAAAAATAATATTGAGATGACTGAGGAACAGAGAATGTTAGAGAGAGAAGAATCCATAAGGTCTGTGTGATACACACTCTGGAGGAAGAACACAGGATGGAAGCCAGGCTCTGACATTAGTTCCTAGTTGGGCGACCTCGATTTCTTCATCTGTAAAATGGGGATGATTCAGTATCCACCTCATAGGAGTGCTGTAGGAGTAAGTATTGCAGGAGTAACGCATTACCGGGCACACTGGCCGGGCGTGCCGGCTCACACCTGTAATCCTAGCACTTTGGGAGGCCAAGGTAGGACGATCACTTGAGCTCAGTTCAACCTGGGCAACATAGCAAGACCCTATTTCTACAAAAAATTAGCCGGGTATGGGGGGTATACCTGTAGTCCCAGCTGCTCAGGAGGCTGAAGTGGGAGGATCACCCAATCCTGGGAGGCAGAGGTTGCAGTGAGCCAAGATCACCACTGCACTCCAGCGTGGGTGACAGAGTGAGACCTTGTCTCAAAAATAAATAAATAAATAAAAATGGTCTGACACTCAGTGTTGGCTGCCAGTGTTCCACTCTTGCTGCTGTGTATCCTGGGAGCACGGGTCCCAGAATCCCAAGGACCCTCTTGGGTTTCCTCCAGGCAGTTAGAGTATCTCTTCCCACTTTCTAGGGGGCTCTTTCAGCCCTGAGAGGTGGCATGCCTTGGCTAGTAGGACTGAAAGTGTGGCTGGGTCATCTGTCCACACCCCACCCACCCCCCACAGCGGCCTCATGTACCCATGGCAGAGATCTCAATGCTGATGGTGAAGATGGAGTGGGAGCGTGAGGAATCCTTGTTCATCAGTGTGTAGCCGACAGAGCGGTTCTTCCAGCCGGCCTCCATAATGCGCTCACACTGGGCCACGCTGTGCACCGTGTGCATGGACAGCCCCTTCACGTACACGCCCTTCTCCGGGTGCTCCTTCAGCTGAGGGAAGAGCAATGGGTCAGGGGTGGAACCTCCAACCTCCAAGGGTTTGGGCTAGGGATGGTCAAGGAACCAGAGAGAAGGGCCCCATCCAGACCGCCCTCGCCCTCCCGCAGTGTGGGCTGGCACCTCATGCGCCTGTCACAGGGAGGGGTGCGTTCCAGGCCCCAGCAGCCTCAAACCTACCCCTGCCTCCTACTTGCTGTGGGACCTTCAGCCAGTGACGACCTAAGCCTCAGTTTCCACATCTCCAAAATGGGCAATGAGACAGCTACCTCATAGGGATATGGTGAGGAATCCATAAAATAAGGCACATACAATGCTTAGCATGGTGCCCAGCACCTAAGCGCCCCATAGATGCCAGCCACTGTCTGTGCTGTTGTCATGAGTGCTATGAAGACAAAGGTAGCTTTCCGTTTGGGAGCTTCAGATCTCAGGGGCTGACCCTGTCATCGCCCACGGGCCCTGAGCACCGTCTCCCTTCATCCTGACAGGGCTCCAGATCCCCTCTGCCTCGGCTCTAGAACCAGGGGAATGCCCCCAAACCCTCAGATCACAGGTGAACAGCCACTTGTTGCCCAGAACCCCTACAGGCTCACAGCTCAGAGGCCCCCAGCCCTCAGGGCAGTGGCAGCAGTAAATTAATTTATCTGATGGCTCCCTGCTGGCTCTCCAGCCAGCCAAGTCATTTAGTTGCTGACACAGAGATGTGAAACACAATATTTTTCAAACGTGAGAGGAAATAAAACCACTCTGCCACAAGAGCAGAATAAATGAGGACAAAGGAATTTGTCTGCCAAGTGTCCCTGCAGGTTGGAGCCACCCGAGGCTCAGCTTCGGGCAGCATTGGGGGGTCCCGGGTGGGCTCAGGACCCTGGTGTGGGAGGGACATGAGTGGGGGTCGGGGGACAGGCACGGGCTGGTCCTATCTGCTCAAGCGTGGAGAAACAGCCAAGCCCCACCAACAGACTAGACTTCATGAAATAGATGAGCAGCTGATGCCCAGAAAGGGGAGGTGACTTGCTGAAGGTCGCAGCTGTTAGTGGGGTCACAGCTGATGGAAGGCTCCGGGGCAGGGCAAGAGAGAGGCGGGAGCATCCTGCAGTGGCTGAAGCTTGACATGACAGAGGGTGGGTCTTGGCCCAGACTAGAGGTAAGGAGGGAGCCCAGAGGATGGAGGGCGTGTGGCCTGGGGGCACCCTGCATGCCTGCTCCAGGCAGAAACCCATTCTCAGGCTTGCTGGCTGGGGAGGTTCATTTGCCTCTCTAGGCCTCGATTTTCTCTTCTGTAAAATGGGGATGATAACTCCTATTTCTACAAGGTTATTATGACAATTAGGAAGAGAACAGATCTAAAGAAAAGTTCTGTGGGTACTTAGTGGGAGTTCAGTGAATGCAGGTCACAAAGAGGACGAGGTCGCTGTCTCAGGCCTGAGTAATCCAGGAGACAAACCCTGACCCAAGGGGTCTCCCACCACGGTATTTTCAGGCCCAGGAAGGCTCCCTGCTCCCAACCTTGTGATGGCCTAACCACCTCGCTCCCAACCCCGCTCTACCCCCCGATGCCTGGGAGGTGCTGAGTGACAGCCCCCAGCTGCGCACCAGGCTCCTTGGTAACTGCTCATCTCTGCTGCGGAGGCCAGAACCAGGTCACCATGGCAACCAGCTGGGATGCAGCAAGGATGAGAGAGGGGAGCATGGCAGGAACGTGTCCGTGGCTGCCATGGGGAGGGGAGCCTTTGACACTTTGCCTGGACATGGGTAGGGAGAACCCGCTGGAGAGACCCCCTCAGATCAAGATGACAGTAGTTTATAGCGGCTGGGGGAGGGGTGGAACTCTGCTTCTCCAAACCGCTTGCTGGCCTTAGGTGATGTAATAACCTCTAATTATAACCACCACTGGGCCCTGTGTTAAACATGGGTTAACAGCATGTGTTGTGGAGTCCCTGGGTTCAAATCCCATCTTCACTCTTTTTTTCTTTTTTTTGAGACAAAGTCTCATTCTGTCGCCCAGGCTGGAGTGCAGTGGCGCGATCTTGGCTCACTGCAACCTCTGCCTCCCGGGTTCAAGCAATTCCCTGCCTCAGCCTCCTGAGTAGCTGGGATTACAGGAGCCTGCCACCATGCCCAGCTAATTCTTGTATTTTAGTAGAGATGGGGTTTCACCATGTTGGCCAGGCTGGTCTTGAATTCCTGACCTCGTGATCCTTCCACTTCAGCCTCCCAAAGTGCTGGGATTATAGGCGTGAGCTACTGCGCCTGGCCCATCTTCACTCTTTACTGACTGTGTGTCCTTGGGCTGGTCTTACTTAAGCACATAGAGCCTCGGTTTCTTCATCTGTGATAAAGGATAAAAATGGTGCCTCCTCCTGGGGTGGCCAGGGGGTTTACATGAGAGCCATCTGCACATCCTCCACGAGGGAGCATGTCAAAAGCCTGGTGACCCCAGAGTGTGTTTCAGGGAGCGCATCTGTCACTGCAGCCCCCGAGGCAGCTGGCTCAATAGGCCTGAGGCTCAGCTGCAACAAGTGCCCATGGCTGCCAGCCTTTGGCCCCTCTAGACCTGGGTAACTGAGGCCTTTGTAGAGTCCAGGGCAGTGAGGAAGGGGAGGAGGGCTCCCTGCTGCTCCAGTGCAGGTTAGCAGAAGGCTCACAGGGGGCCAGGGGGCCCTAACCCCACAGCCTGGCCTTCTGGGGCTGTCATGTGGGAGCAACACCCTCTGCTGCCTCCTGTCTCTGCTTCCCTGTCTGGGGGCTGAGCTATGATTCAGCTGCACTAGGAGAGAGAAGGCAAGAGAAAAACTCCAGGTGGGAGGCTGGAGGATCCTGCATGAAAAACGCCAAGCGGCTGGGTGCCTGTGGTGGTGTGTGCCTGTGGTCCCAGCTACTGCGGTGGGAAGGGGGTTGAGGTGGAAGACTCAAGGCCAGGAGTTTGAGGCCAGCCAGGGCAACAAAGTGAGACCTTGTCTCCAAAATATATATATATTTATTGTTTTAAGATGGAGTCTCGCTGCATTGCCCAGGCTGGAGTGCAGTGGCACAATCTCAGCTCAGTGCAATCTCTACCTCCTGGGTTCAAGTGATTCTCCTGCCTCAGCCTCCCCCAGGGACGACAGGCATGCACCACCATGCCCAGATAGCTTTTGTATTTTAGTAGAGATGGGGTTTCACCATGTTGGCCAGGCTAGTCTCAAATTCCTGACCTCAAGTGATCCACCCACCTAAGCCTCCCAAAGTGTAGGATTATAGCGTGAGCCACCATGCCCGGCCTTAAAAAATTCTTTTTCATTAAAAAATAAATCCCGGCTGGGCGCGGTGGCTCACGCCTGTAATCCCAGCACTTTGGGAGGCTGAGGGGGGTGGATCACGAGGTCAAGAGATGGAGACCATCCTGGTCAACATGGTGAAGCCCTGTCTCTACTAAAAATACAAAAAATTAGCTGGGCATGGTGGCGCGTGCCTGTAATCCCAGCTACTCAGGAGGCTGAGGTGGGAGAATTGCCTGAACCCAGGAGGCGGAGGTTACAGTGAGCCGAGATCGCGCCATTGCACTCCAGCCTGGGTAACGAGAGCGAAACTCTGTCTCAAAAAAAAAAAAAAAAAAGCCCCGACTCTAGTCTCCCAGTGCCGGCACCCTCGGGACACCTTCTGGTATTTCTGAGGGAGCAGCACGCAATGCCAACCTCCCCGCTTCCGGGCCCACCTGCCCACACTGGGTCTGCACCCACCTCCAGCCTCTGCTTGGTGTCAGCCCCCAGGAGGTCCCGGACATCTTCATTGTAGATCTCCAGGTAGGAGGCCCGGACCAGGAACTTGGTGTTCTCTGCACACTGCAGGGAATACACAGAAACTCAGACATCAGAGCTCCGAGGCAAACTGCTGCCCTGATGCTGGGAGCTGTCCCTCTGCCACCAGGACATCATGGGAGAAGAAGGGAAATCGGGGCCAGAGGATTCCCCAATCCCACCTGCCCTGCTGACCCTCCTGGCAAGCTCATTCCTCGCCTCCAGCTTGGTGGGTGCTCAGGCCTCTTGGAGTTGCAAGATCCTCACACTGCTCGCTAATGCTCTGTCTAAAAGCCTCATAGGAAAGGAAACTGAGGCTTCCCCATTATTCAGGTAAAAAGAAAAAAAAAAAAAAAAACCCTGGTCGGCATGGTGGCTCACACCTGTAATCCCAGCAATTTGGGAAGCTGAGGTGGGCGAATCTCTTGAGGCCAGGAGTTCAAGACCAGTCTGGCCAACATGGTGAAACTGTCTCTACTAAAATTACAAAAATTAGCCAGGTATGGTGCTGGGCACCTCCCCAGCTACTTGGGAGGCTGAGGAAGGAGAATCGCTTGAATCTGGGAGGCAGAGGTTGTAGTGAGCCAAGATCACACCATTATACTCCAGCCTGGGTGACAGAACAAGACTCTGTCTCAAAAAACCTAAGGCGACAGGGAAGGCCTGGGATAAGCACAGGCTCTGGGCTGGTCCCTGGCAGCTCTCCGAGGCCTTACATGTTGCTGTGGCCACCACGATGAGTCCTGGGAGCAGCATAGTGGGCTCTGCAGCTGACCAGGGTCACTTTCCCCATTCCGCCATTCCCTGTGCACTGCTGCAAATGGTCGACAGGCAACTCTCATCTGCAGCCTGGACGCTGGGATGAATTCAGAGTCCGGTCTCATCTTGGCCCATAAAGGCTCAGAGTCTCAACCTCCCTCTCAAAAATGGGGCTACTAGCTACCTACTGGGTCAGGCTAGAGATTCAGTGAGGTAAGGATGCCAAGGGCTTTGCACATGGCTTGATCCCTAACAATTGCTCAATAGAGGGGAAGCTGTGATTGTTACAACCCCTTCCCGCCCAGTGCATAGGTTCAGCAGATCCACAGGAAATTGAGGATCAGAACCCAACAATGACAGAAGAAAAGCATGGACAGAATTTTCTCTAAGTGTTTTCCCCCACCTTTTCAGAACCCAGAGCCTTCTCTGCTGATGTGTGTGGGGTCAGGCCAGGTTCCAATCACTTCCCATGTCCCTGCCACCCATCAGAAGTGCTCTGGGGCCCAGCTGCAGCTCTGGCCCTGCCCCAGCCCTCCATGAAGCCCACACCTGGACGCTCTCGAACACGTGCTCGAAGGCCCTGGGGATGATGCCTCTCTGGGAGGGCGGGTCCGGCAGGCCTTGCATGGTGAAGGACTTCCCGCTGCCTGTCTGGCCATAGGCAAAGATGGTGCCATTGTAGCCCTCAGTGACACCCTGCATGGGAGGAAGCCAGGACCCCATGCTCAGCAGACCAGGCACAGCAGGGCTCAGGCAGGGCCCCCTAACTCACTGACTCGGGGCCCTCCCCGGTCCCCCCACCAACAATGGCACTGGAGTGTGGAGATAAGCAAGGCCCAGCTCTGTCTCAAGGAGTTGACTGTCTGGTGGGGTAAGGAGCTGTCCTTGTCCCCTGCACTGTGGGCATGGCCCCCTGGGCCCACATCCACCTTTACCGACCGTGAGCCCTTGTGGTGGCCTCACTGAGGCACATTGATAAGATAAGAACAACACCTTAGGCCGAGCACAGTGGCTCATGCCTGTAATCCCAGCACTTTGGGAGGCCTGAGCTGAGGAGCTTGAGACCAGCCTGGACAACATGGTAAAACCCTGTCTCTACAAAAAACAAAAAATTAGCCGGGCATGGTGATGTGCACCTGTAGTCCCAGCTACTCAGGGGGCTGAGGCAGGAGAATTGCTTGAACCCAGGAGGTGGAGGTTGCAGTGAGCCAAGATCATGCCATTGCATTCCAGCCTGGGTGAGAGTGAAATTCTGTCTAAAAAAACCCCGACACCTTAAAGGGTAAGAATGGCACCTCCTACGAGGTTCCTGCAGGGTATGAATGGGGTTATTTTGTGCATTGGCACAGGAAGTGCCGCCACACGCAGGTGCTCCATCTGCCTACAGTGCAGGGAGTTGGACCGCACAGGTGACTCTCAAGGCAGGCTATGGGGCGGGGCACACAGCCACAGGAGTCCAGGCAGCAGGCAGGGAGGGGAAGTGCAAAGGAGGGAAAACAGAACAGTGTGGAAAGAACGAAGCACAGCTTTCCAGGTGGCAAAGACAGGGAGAGCTGGGGGAGCTGGGAGTGGGGCTCATACTTTGCCAGGTGACAGAAGAGGGAGGCATTCCAGGCTGAGAGGACAGCTTAAATAAAGCCACACAGGTGAGGTGTGGAGAGCAGGAGGGACGGGGGATGGGGTGGAAGATGAGGCCTGGAAGGAAGAAAAGAGGCAAACCCGGTGCGGTTTCCAAAGTCATTCTTCATTCATCGCTGTTTCTACTCATTGGCCAGGGCCTGACCATACTCAGCCTAGGCACAAAGTGGTGAACGAGGCAGACACAGTTCCTGCCCTTGCAGAGCTCACGAGCTCCCAAATTCTAGAACTTAGTATGGGCTTGGGTGGGTCCTGTGTGGGTAGATCGGCCTAGAGAACTGAGATCCCCAAAGGCCCACATGGTATCTATGCCCAGTTTCATTGCAAAGACCCATGCTGTAACGAAAACAGGGCTGGGTGTGCCAGTGAGGGAAGATAAAAAGTCACCATTCGGCAGGACATGGTGGTTCATGCCTGTAATCCCAGCACTTTGGGAGGCCAAGACAGGCGCATCACTTGAGGTTAGGAGTTTGAGACCAGACTAGCCAACATGGTGAAACGCCGTCTCTACTAAAAATACAAAAATTAGCCGGGCGTGGTGGCACACGTCTGTAATTCCAGCTACTTGGGAAGCCGAGGCACGAGAATCGCTTGAACCTAGGAGGCGGAGGCGCTGGGGACAGTGCAGACCCAGAGGCGACACTAGATGCAGGCGCGGGTGTGTCCCGCCTGGACAAAAGCCTCCGGACCCCCCTGTTGCCACCTGCCCGCGCCCCTCGAAGGCCTTTCCACCCTGCTGGGGAGGCAGCACCGCCCCCTAGGGACCCTCGGGGCGGCCCGATGCCCTGCGGTCTGGAGGGCGGCCTGCCAGGCGCCCTCACCTCCACCAGTGGGTAGGCGATCTCGTTGTAGATCTGCTCGGTGACGTGGTCCACGTGGTAGGCGCCGTCGAAGGTGAACTGCTTGGGCGGCTCGTCGGCGGCGCCCGGGTTCTGGATGCAGCACTGGCCGCGCGCGCAGTCTACAGTCACCACCGGCCTGCAGCGCAGCTCCCGCTCCCGCTGGTTCATGGGGCGGCAGCGCACGACCACCTTCACCGCCTCGGAGGCCATGGGGCCGCGCCCGGAACCCCCGGGGCCAAAGCCAACCCCCGCTCCGCCGGGAATCCCGGGCCGCCCGGGCCAAGGGGCGGGGCCAGCGCCAGCCACTGGCGCCGGAGCTTTGCGGCGGGGGCGGGGACTCCTCGGGGGCCGCCCTGAGGGGAGCGGGGATTCGCAGGACCCGAGCCGGGGCCGCCGCCTCCTCCCGCGCCCCGGCTCGCCCGTCCCTCAGGCCCAGCCCGGGCGAGGACGTGGGGAATCCGCGCCGCAGGCGCCGCCGCAGGACCTGAGCCCGGAGCCTCCCCACCAGCCAGCCAGCGCGCTCGACGCCGCGGCGTTCGTGGTTGCTGGGCAACGCCCGTGGCGTCACAGGTGCGGCCCGGCCGCGAACTTGGACCGCGTGATCCCTGGGTAGCCACGCGCGGCCACCTGTGGGAAGGGGTAGCCTTGGCTGGGCTCCTTTCGGGTCCGCTGTCTTCTAGAATAAGCCCCAGTTCAGAGAGGTTCCGCGTATTGCTGGAGGCCGCGGCTAAGACTAGGAGCCCAGGCTTGACTCCACCTCAGGGCTAAAGAAATCCCAGGCCTCACGCACGGACTGTGCGTGACCTACTGAGAAAAGCTGCAAGGACCTGTAACCCATTATCCACGTCCCCGTACTGGCTCAGGGGAAAGCTGCCAACAAACCACGGCCCCTGGACAGCTTCCTCTCATTATTTTTAAGCTTCCCCTTGTTATTTCTAAGACCGGAGATTGTAAAACAAACACTTTAGAAACCACGTATTTAGGGCCAGGCGGGTGGTTCACACCTGGAAGGCCGAGGCAGGTGGATCACCTGTCGTCAGGAGTTCGAGACCAGCCTGGCCAATATGGAGAAACCCCGTCTCTACTAAAAAAACAAAAAATTAGCCGGGGGGGGTTGTGGTACATGCCTGTAATCCTAGCTACTAGGAAGTCTGAGGCAGGACAATCACTGGAACCCAGGAGGCAGAGGTTGCAGTGGGCGGCTATCTCACCATTGCACTCCAGCCTGGGCAAAAAGAGCAGAATTCCATCTTAAAAAAAAAAAAAAAAAAAAGCCAAGTCTTTTGGATGGAAGGCTGCCTGGCCTATCCCTCCTAGCCCAGTGCAAGTTCCCCAGCCAAAAGAGTACCTCTGTCACACCTCTGGGCTCTTCCTTGCACTAACACTAAGTGCCAGCTACATGACAGGCACCATGACAATGACAGATGCTGGGGAGACAGCCCTCCTGGCCCATGATCTCGCTGGAGAGACAGACACAAGAAACAAAAATCCCATAAATGAAAGTGTAATTACAAACCGAAGAATCCATTCCATGCAACTTTTTTTTTTTTTGAGACAGGGCTTTGTCCTGTCACCCAGGCTGGAGTGCAGTGGCACAATCATAGCTAACTGCTGCCTCAACCTCACTGTCTCAAGCAATTCTCCTGCCTCAGCCTCCGAGTGGCTACTTTTTTGAAGATGGGATCTCACTTTGTTCCCCACCCCTCAAAGAAGAGGCTCAACTGATCCTCTCACCTCAGCCTCCCAAAATGCTTGGATTACAGGCACTGCGTCTGGCCCACGGAACATCTAAAAAAAGGAACCTCACTCAGCCCAAGGGGTAGGGCAGGCATCCTGAGATTGACTGGAGCTGAAATCTGATGGCTGAGGAGTGATCAAGCTGAAGGGAGGGGAGGAGGAAGGGGCCACCAGTCTGGGCTGGGTCGAGGTCCAGGGGCACGCTGCAGAGGCAGAAAGCAAGCCCAGGTTGCCAGTGCAGAAGGACTTGAGTCTTTGGGCCAGGCGTGGTGGCTCATGCCTGTAATCCAAGCATTCAGAGGCCAAGGCGGGTGGATCATCTGAGGTCGGGAGTTCAAGACCAGCCTGACCAACATGGTGAAAGCCCATCTTAAAAAAAAAAAAAAAAAAAAAAAGAAGGACTTCAGTCTTTTTCCTATAGGCATACCCACTGAAGGTTACAGCAGAAGAAGACGTCATTCGATTGAGTTCCCCTTGCCAATTCCTTCTGAGCCTTGAGGACAGGACCTCTAATTCACCATTCAGCACCAGCTGAAGGTATATCTGGCAAAAACAAAACAGGGAAACTGGACAAAGACCTCACTCTTCGAAGGAAAGAAAAGTCTGTACCAGACTGAAGCAACACATTTTATTGTTTCAAGTCCACACAGCAAGGAAAGTGGGGCTACTGAGGTGGTGCTGATTTGAACAGGGGAAACTGGTCTCTGATGAAGACATGAAAGAGTCTGCAAACAGGGGCCGAAAGCCCTGCCCTCCCTGTAACATGAGATCCATCATGCTGGCTGAAGCAATGCTGAAGTGCTTCGTGGACACTGGTCCCTTCAGTGTGGCAAACATGCCCCTGGTAGCTTCTCCACACAGGTAATTCACCAGGAAAACCCATCCCTCACTGAGGGATGGCCCAAGTCTGGACCAATGACCAGGTCTCTTTAAGTGCCCATCTCTGGGCTATAATCCTAGGCCCAGGACATCGCTAAAGCCCTCTCTCCTTGCCAGGGGAATGTGAGGCTGGGGCCAGTGGTTTGTCCAGGAAGGGGATGGTTCTAGTACAGATGGCTGTCAAATAGAGTCCCAGCTTACCACACACAGTCAGCATAAAACCAGTGCTGGCTTTCCAGGGACAAGAAGCCCCAAAGGGCAGTTTCCTTCTATCTTTTGTGACAGGATAGTTCACTTGACTTGCAAGGAAATGACAAGGTCCCAAGCCAAGACCCTGTCCTTGCTGGAGAGTTGGAGGTGGGGAACACGAGGCCTGGGCCTCTGGTCTCACCCCCCCATTCACCTCCCTTCTTTCTGCTCTGGTGGCGCTGCCCACTTCCTTCCAGGCATCAGAAATCTGTTACTTTCAAGGCACTGAACAGTTCTGCACCGCTTGCACGTGGGGAGAGGGCAGCTCCCAGGCTCGGGATGCGGCTTCTGCTTCAAGCAGAGAAGTTCATCCAAAATGAACCTGTTCTATCACTTAGTTCAGTAGATTCACATTTGTCAAGTTTGCTTGCAAAGAGTGATACCTGGGTTTGCCGGTCACTGGCGGGACCACTGTCTCACACTAGAGTCGTTTCCCTGGGTCTCCCATGGCCCGCTGAGGCCAAGCGCCCCAGCAGGGCCCACATCAGGTCCACCCTTGGATGGTTCTGTTGTGAATGACCCCATTCCCAGTGGAGCTGGCAGGTGAGGCAGGGTGGCCCCTGGCACACATGGTCAGCGGCATGTTAAGGGGAATGCCAGCATCAGACAGCCTCCCTCCCAAGGCAGACCATGAGCGGGGGAGTTGGGAAGGGTCCTGGCCACCCCTCAAAGCCTGCAGCTCACTGCTGGCCCCTGCCTGTCGAATGGCTAAAGGAAGTGAGCTGGGGTGGGGGTGTCCTGGCGATTCCTGGGGGAAGTGTGAGCCTGGGCATCCCTTCTGAGAGAGAAGGGAGCACAGCCCTGAGGTTTGGGTGGAGCCAGCATGGAGAGCTTCAGCCTGTCTGCTGGTGTGCCTTGCTTTCTGCACACAGGAGCGCCCCCAACCCGGCGTGAGCGCTGGGCACCGCTCTGTCCCTCCTGCCCTCTCTGCAGCTCCCACCCATCCTTTGCTCTCAGACACAGCCGGGCTATCAGCCCGGATGGGGCTTGGCCCCAGCCTCCTGGCCACAAGCTCCATGGAGCGGTCTCTGCTCAGAGACAGGGCGGCTCCCCCAGGTCTTTGCCCAGAGTGAGAACTCACTGCTGCCTCCCCAAGCCCCCCACTCTCACTCATCTCATGAGCTTTCTGGAGACTTCCAGTCAAGGCCCCAAGGCCTGGCCTCCTTAGGAGAGGGCCGCACCTCTGCCATGAACAGGCTCTGGGCCCAGAACAAAGCTGAAGCCCAGAAGTCCCAGCATCCGAAGCCACCCGACAGCTTATCCGGCTCATCCAAAGCCTGCGACTCCACTTGTTCTCCTGGAATCTCAGCGGGCCCCACGTTCTGCGAGAAGCCAGTGGCGATACCCAACCTCAGGGTGCCCCTCCCACGGACGGTGAAGTGATGGAAACTGCTCCAAGGGCAGGGTGACTGGATGGAACTGGCGACCAGAGGGTGCAAGACGGGCAGAGAGGCTGCTGGGGCCCCGGAGCCGGGGAGCGGCGGGGCCTGTGGGACGGGGCCCTACCTCTTAGCCCAAGCCCTGCAGCTCTGCCTCGGACTTGGCATGGCTGAGAGGCCGGAGAGTCCGGGGCGGCCTGCCTGGGGGCCCACAGTCCTGTTCCTCGTAGGAGGGATTCCGGCGGCCCATGTCGAGGGGGCAGAAGAGGCTGCGCTCGGTAACTGCGTGGTTCTCCACCAGAGCCTCCAGACTGGGGAACTCCGCCCGCAGGTGCTGGGGAGGAAGGGGCTTCAGCTCCAGTCCCCTTCCCCAGGGCTCAGGCCAGGCACCAGTCACCTGTTCCCACAGGAGCCTGCCCACTTTAGACAGCAGCAAACGGAGCCCAGAGACCTCACATGGGCTGCCAGGGCAGAACCAGGCACCATTCCCTATCTCTCTTCCCAGCCTGGGCGGGACTGAGAGGTTTAGATGGGAAGTAAGGGTGCACATGTGAAAAGCCTTGCCACCCCCTCCCATTCCTAGAAACCAGGGCAGGTGGGGCAGGACAAGACATCACACTGGAGACTCAGAGGCTGTGTGAGCTTAGGCAAGCTCCTGCCCTCTCTGAGTCAGTTTCCTCCTCTGCTAAGATGGGCTAGGGTATAGGAAAGCCAGGATTCCTGCTGAAATGTTAGACATGGCCCCAGCTCAAGACTCTTTTATAGGTACCTTTTAAAGCCCCCTCTGGAGAGAGGGGCCCTCCCTTGCCCTCCAACAGCCTTCAGGTCAGAGCTGAGCCAGCAGAGGTGGGGCCAAGTGGGCCAGCTGGGGGCGAGGGCAGCAGGGCCAATGAGGAAGGAGCAGGACGGTAGAGGCCGAATGGAATTGGATGAGGGGCGAGGCCAGAGAGAGCCAATGAGAGACAGGGATAGGGGTGAGGCCTTCAGGACCTCAGCAGTGAGAAAAGGGCAGAGCGGGAAGGGGCAAGGATGGAGCAGTGATGGGGCGTGGCCCAGACCCTCTGGCCACTGCACTCTTACCTCCACACAGTAGCGACCCAGGTGGTTCCGGAAGACCTGGTGGGGCACCACACCGCACTGCGTGCGCACGGACAGGCACCACTGGCCGCTGGCACCCGGCTCCGGCCACAGCAAGAAGGCCCCAAGAACATCTCTCCGCAATAGGGCCAGGGCACAGGGCCTAGGGGCACAGAGGGGACAGGGTGAAGGC